GATTTTATTTATTTATTTATTTTTTTTATTTATTAAAAAAAAATATCCCCATGGCTGACCGAAAAAGGCTGACCTTACCCCCCCCCCAACGGAGCAAAATGTCAAATTTTCAAATTTCGAGACCAAAAAAAAAGTGTCCTCTTACCCCCCCCCCCCCCCCCCCCCCCCCCATCTTGAAAAATAGCCCTACTGTCAGGGAAAATGTACCGAGCGGCCAATTGAAAAAACGAAGAAAAAAAAGGGCCTCCTCCTTCCTATTTCTCAAAAAAGCAGGACGCTAAACATGTTTTTTAAAATATTTATTTGGCCTTATAGACTTCACTGTCAGACACTATTGAGTGAGCAATTGACTTCTTTTTATCTTTGGTAATAACATACATACAAATTAATGAGCTGTAACATGTTCAATGCAGCATTTGTCTACATTAATAACCCACTTCTCGTAATGGCCAAAATTAAACTGATTGAGTATTTGCGCAGCACAAAACATACGACCATTTCGTACAAAGGGTCTGAAAATCTGACTATTTACTTATGTTGATTTGACAACTCATCGTCTTTATTTTCCAACAAAAAAAGGCATTTTTAAGCCCTTTTGTTTTGACAGAAGTTCTAAATTAGTATTATCTTTCAAATGCCATTGGAATTTAAATTTTTCATTTTATTTTTTGGCTGCAAGAGGGACATAGTGCCTTTAACGTACATTAACCATGGTTGTATAAGTCTACACTTAAAGTCTAGAGTAGGCTCAAATTATAACGGCAAAGAAATAAGAGAATTAAATTGGAAATGGTTAGTCCTCTGAATTGTCCTTTAATTTCCCATTGACCCTTATAGGGCGACAGTGGCGGCCCCCTGGTGGCCTATCCCTCGAGTAACACCGCCCAGTATTTTCAGATTGGTGTTGTGAGCTGGGGGAGTGTACCGTGTGGAAAGCCCAATTTTCCCGGAGTCTACACCAATGTCACACGTTATGAAGACTGGATTCGATCATTCTTCAAAACCCCAACTCAAAAATGTAAGTTGAACTCGTATAGATATATTCGGAACATTTTATTTTATGACATATTACGCAATATTCACTCGTTTCATTAAAAAAACACATAATGTATCTCTCGGCTGTCAAGCAGAAGGCCGTAAAATGTATGGCAGTAACGGCCATCTCGCAGAAAGCCGATGGATACATTGGTTTGAAAAAATGAAACGAAATGAACATTAATTTTTCATAATTCAAAACCGGTCTGCTCAAGGGGAATACAATTAAAGGCCAAGTCCACTCCATAAATAACTTACTTTCAATATAACCAACAAAATCAGACAAACCAATCAAAAAAGTTTGAGCAAAATCGGATAACTAATAACAAAGTTTTGAATTTGTAATGACATGAAAAACTTTGAAAATCACTAAACAAATTGGCAACTCACTCTTTAGTCTGTGACGTATGGTCCTCACTATCCACTAATTATTTTCTTTACATTGATAATATAAATTTCCTATTTCCCCACCCCCCCCCCTAAGAATCTTATTGCTTCACACCAGCATCCAAGCTAGATCGATAGTAATATTATTTTCTAGGTAAATCATGAAAAATGTGAAGTTTGATAAACTATTTATATCAAAATCAATAATTATGAATATACAATATTCAGAAAATAGTATCAATTCTTCAAAGTTCATAACAAATTTTGTGAAATGTCATGTAAGCAATATGATACAAATGATATAACCTGGGCAAAGGCATGGGGACATCAAGTTTTGGGGGATAAAAAGGGAAATTAATGGGATTAAACTATACAAATAGTGAGGACATGACGTCACGAACTGATAACCAAATTCGCAATTTGTGTAGTGATTTCCATTGTTTTCTAGTTTTACATACTTTTTCAAAAGTTCATAACTTTCTTATTAGTTATCCGATTTTGCTCAAACTCTTTTTGATTGGTTTGTCTGATTTTGCTGGTTCTATTAATAGCAAGTTATTTTTGGGTGGATTTGTACTTTAAGGCTGGAAATTGTCGCCTATCCTACTTCCGTAGGGGGAATCCACTAATTTGTTTATTTTCCCCGGGAGAAAATGTCTATAATTGGGGCATCTCATTAGACCGATAATATTATTGTGGACTTGTTGTCTTGTGGGCTGCATAACCAAGTAGTAACATGAAATCTTTCATAGGAAATGATGGGAACGTAATTATGACGCCATAGCTCAGAAAGCTGTATATACCATGAGACAACATTTTAGTTAAAATTATTGGTGTTATAGCTCATTTAAAATTTTTGACAAATTGACCAATAACTCAAATTGATGTACTAATTACTCCTTTCCATCCACGATATTTCAGATATGGGATGCGTTCGTGATGAAACCCAAAAGATGTCTAAATGGACGAAAGCGTTTATCTCAGTGTTAATTGTAATGCTCGCCATTTCCATCTTCATCAATGTTGATCTCGGAAGGTATCGGTACAGACAGAATAAAAAAGGGTCAGAGGAAGTACGTAATGATCAAAGTTCCCGTCAGAATGAAATGACATCTTTGGTTAATAATAGACAATACACAGATTTCCATAATACACCTGGCTATGGTGTTGCCGAACAAAATAGAGTCTGTATAAATTAGTAAATATCGGTATAAATTCAGTAAGACAAATGCCTCCGGTGGTCAGATTTATTTAAAAAGTGTTTTTTATATAGGTGAAGCTGGGAAGTGGATTTCTATCTGTTCATTGAGAAATATAGCCTTTATGATATCTGTTCAATTTATGTCTATATTTAAGATGATTTTAGGTGATAGCTACCATTGCTATGTTGTTAGTACTTTTTAATTTAAATATCACTTGCATAAATATTAATATCACTGGCTTATAATCAATTTGATTGATGCCAAACACAAGTCACTGATAACTGTAATCTGTTCCACCGTTCGGTCGAGAAATATCCATATGGCCTATATTTGCTTTAGAAATACATGTATGGTGGTGTGCATAACCGTAGTTTGCGCGTGACCTCAGTTCGCTTTTTCAAAAAATCGGTAAGATTACGAAAAGCGATACCACTAATGGAAAGAGGAACCTTACAATTCCCAAGAGACGAAATTTCTATGGAATTGGGTGTGAAATTATGAAAATATTGACAAAAGATCGAAAAGGTTGTAGATGTTTGCATCCGTTCCGAAAAAATATGAAACTACCGACAAGGGTCTGGAAATGTTTATGGTACCAACTGATCGTATGATATTTTTGCCTTGAACCAATTTGTAGTAAAACAAAAAACTTTGCAGTCCATTTGGTAATAATTGAACTAAATAAATTTGTGTAGAATAAGAGAAATCATGGATCGCAGATCTCATTTCCTAATATCTAAAAAATCTTCGCGAACTTTGGTCACCCCATCATAAAACAAATATTCACCTTCTCTCTCTCTCTCTCTCTCTCTTTCTCTTATATGCATTTTAAAATCAGGACTAAAGTTTACTTCTTAGACGGTTTACATGACTCGAATTTTGTATTGTGACATTTATGTTTCTTTATTTATGTTTCTAGGTCTAATGATTTTTTTATGGTGACAAAACTCATGATTCGGGTAATTTCTTATTAATATGTCTGTATAACGTTTAATCGGAATCTTGCGACACGATTGGTCTGAATGATGTCACATGACAATTAATATGTTCCATGTCTTGATGCACGTAGTGATATTAAAAACTATCACATTGTGTGAGTCTTTTTTGTTTTGTTGCTGCCGCATAGATATATATATACGATAGGAACTAATGGACCTTGGTTTACGAAATAAACGTAGACGAAGGTTAACTTGTTGTTGTTCAAATTAATGGCGTTTTCCAACGTCGTTGGATGATTTTTGCCACGCGAAGTGCATAATAATATGGGCTCTCTAATGTGCAATTAAATAGAGTGTATGTTTAGTGTAGACTTTTGTATTCACCATTCCTCTTCTCGTGGAAAAGCATTGTCGATGTTGGATATAAAGAAATGAATCTGCTCCTTTTCTCTGGCGGGTAGGCAAACCATCATCCCCTCGGTGATCTCGGGGAGGGGGGGGGGGGGTATTTTTTTTCCTCTCCTTCAGTTCGGCAAGATTGTAGCCCCAAGATTTTTTCTGCGATGATAGTTTGTCCCATCGCCAGGTTAATCGGTAATTATTTGCTAAATATCGTTCAATAAATGCATATGTGTAGGAATGATATGAATGTTTGAAATGTACACAAAAGAGAAAATTGAATAAATTCCTGCATGTACTGCTAAAGACATATTTTATGAAAGCTATATTATTTCCTTTGTCGTGTCCAGAAATGTAAGATTCTAATGTAGGAATACATTTGAAGAAAAAAAATGAATTTATGTATCTGTGATTTTATACTTCACAAGCGAGTCGATGGACAAATTACACGGTTTTTTCTCTCGTCCTGAAACCGACGTTTTGTTTGCAAATCAGAAATTGAATAACGTCTTTATATAAAAAGAATCCCTTATAGTTATAAAATAGTTGAGTTTGTTTCAATAAAATTTAAAAAAAAGAGAAAAATAATGTTTTATTTTAATTAATGACGCCCACAATGTGAAAAATGATGGCTTATCAATTAAAACTGAAATTGCATTATTTGTAACTTTTTTTTTTTATTGCTGATGAGATGACCTACAAAGCCGAAATCATTCCTTAAAAGAACATCAATTCCATCCCGTGTAATCTCTCCGTGTGGCACAACTATTTCATCTTAAGATCTTCTTAATTCTCTAATTCATTTCCTTCAACTCTATGGAATTACGAAATGGTGTCTTTCCCCTATAACTGCTATGTAACGTCCACCATCCAAAACGCATGTAAACCTATAGTTACACTATCTGCGTGGTCAAACTTCAAGGCAATACAAATATTTTGTCTTTACTTTAACCGCAGCTCTGATGGTGGTAACATGAACATTAGCATACCATCATAAACATTAACCAATGGAAACACCATAGTCCCCCAGTTTGTGGCAATGTACAAAAGAAACATAAGCATTTGCATCGACATGCTCACTCTTCAGCTCAGTCGCTGATGTCACTACAGTTTTGTTACTCGGTTTCTCAGATTATCGAGTTCATACACAACAACAAAGTCTTGATAATATAGAAAAACAATGGCGCCAGTTTCTTTGATGCTCGTGGTTCTGATGATTGCTACATCGTTAGCAGCTAATTGGCAAGGTGAGTCTCAGCTGAATAGATGTATTAAGATTACGGCAATTCTTGAAATGAAATTTTGAAAATATTTTTGTGTGTGAAAAGTTTACAATCTGAGGTCATAAGAAATTCTTGTCATTATTACAATAAATATAATTGAACACATAATATATTAATTTCCACTTCAACGGGCATTGGAGGACAGAGAGAGGGAGAGAAAGAGAGAGAGAGAGAGACGGGGGAAAGAGAGAAAAAGAGAGAAGAGAGTGAGATGGAGAGAGGGAAGAGACAGAGGGGGAGACAGAGGGGAGAGAGGGAGAGGGGGGGGGGGGGGAGAAGAATGAAGAGAAAGAGAGGGCATATGAGAGTGGTGTGAGAGGAAAGGAAAAAGCCTTGAGTGAGCAAAACAGGCAGGCAATGAGAAAGAGAGAGCATATGGCTCTGAATAATCTCGTTGGACACGCCCCCTATCGTCAGAGTCCAGCAGCCTAACATGTTAGCCTATGGACTTTTACCAAACAAATCGTTAAAAATTCAGTTATTGTTTAAACGAAAAGCACATCCACCCCGACGTACGTTATCATACTAGCTCTTTCATTGGAATCCTCATGTCCCATTGAATTTTGGAAGGTTACCCACCGTAATTTGGTCAAAATAGGTCGCCAGCTCGCCATTGCCTATATAACACATGTGCAACAAGTCGAAATTTTGACGCAATTTGCCACTCGATTGTAAGGGTATGAGTCAAGCACACGAAGGATAACAAGCATGAATTATCATAGATCACTTCTGACTGGTTCATTATGTCCATATCAGCCAACCCCTCACCGTAATTTTTTTCATTTAGTATAGGCAAGCATTTTGCCGAGGTAAGCAAAAACATGAATATTCATGAACGCCATGGACTATTCGAGGGGTGCAATTGTGCACCACATCAAACTCCCCTACTTTAAGTCAAGTATTTCATTGTATTATGTAGTTTGGTAGGTTTATCTTACTAACTGTTTAATTATTAGATATCAATGATAGTTTAAACATATGGAAAATATTCTTGTATTTTATATATAGCAAAGCAATCTCACATACAAAATCACTATCAAGTGTCGTCTGATCCGCCGATTGCCGTCTGCTCTGTACGTTCAAGTCACATTTATCTGTGGACTGTGATGTAGACATTCGTCATTGTAGATTAATATGATTAGCCATCTGTCATTATTAGTCTTTACTTGTTGACACACATACAATTACCACACACACGAACACTCTCACTTCCCCTCCCCCAACACACCATTTCCGCACACCCGGTTAACCCAATGGCATAATATACACCCTGCAACAAAGTGGATCATTCTAGTTTGGTAGTGCCGTCGAACTAGCTACGTTTGTGCTGGCAATGGTTCAGCAAGCGAAAATGAGACAACCGGAGCAATATGAGAGAGAGAGAGAGAGAGGGGGAGGGGAGAAAGGGAGAAAGAGGGAGAGAGAAGGGGATTAAAACATGAATTAAGGCAGATAGAGTTGCCGAATATACATGGCACTCTTCATAATCATACCTTTCTCTTAAATTGAACATTTTTGTTCTAATAATTAGCAAATCCTAATGATTGTGGGAAGACTTACCAAGGAATGAACACCATGATCATCGGCGGTGAACCAGCTGAGGAGTATGCGTGGCCATGGCAGGTTGCTATGTTCAAGAATGGCGAGTTCGTTTACTGTGGGGCATCTCTGATCGACCCGTGGTGGGTCATGACAGCTGCACATTGCGTGTAAGTTTATGACCACATAAATCTCTCTATTTTCTAATATGTTCCTGTGATTATATATATATATATATATATATATATATGTAATACATGTTTATATTATCTGCAAAATATTTTAAGTTGTAATGAAGTTCAATTTAAAAAAAGTATGCGAATACATATGTTTCTCCCCCTGTCTTTTTTAATTTAAATGTGACTGCCTGTCTTTGCCTGTCTGGTGGTATGCCTACCCCTTCTCTATCCCCTCCCCCATCTCCCCCTGACATACTAATCCCATTTATCTCCTTCCTCTCCTTTAAACGTGTCATCTGTTGCTTAAAGTCCCACTGTACTACTTGTAGCTACTTGCTCCCTCTATATAGAAAACAATGCCTAATCGGTGGCCACTGGTCCCCCATGATCCTCTTTTTTAAATGTTAATTGAGAGCTGAGTTGATGAGATAGCCACCTGTCAGTGACCACCCTGTGTGATCTGATCCCTCCTAGCCAAACTAATACAGACGACCTTTAATTATAGATTCACAAAAATGTCTTCGACTTACATGTTAGAGCGAAAGTCAATCGGTTCATAATACTCAACCGCAATCGGCTCATCTTATGAAACATTTCAAATCTTTTTCAAAAATTCTACTCTCTAGCTGTATATTTAATCATTATTAGAAATTATCTTTTGCAGTGATAGGTGTAACCTGTGCAAGCCCGAAGCATACGAGTTCAGAGCTGGATCAACCAGTCTCACTAAAGACACTGACGTCACGCAGAAACTTCAGGTCTCGAAAATCATCGTCCATCCCGACTTTGATTTCGAAGATTATTACAACTTCGACAACGACATCGCCCTATTTAAGATGAGGGAACCGTTCACACTCACCGAAGATTACCGAGTGAATACGATTTGTCTTCCTACCGGGGATATGAATGATGAGTTCGTGATCGGGCAGGATGCAATAGTGACTGGATGGGGGACGCTGGTTTGGGATGGAGGTGAGACAATTAAGCACGTCAGTGTTAAAAGTGTCTTCAACTTGATTTATTATTAATTACTTATTGGAAGTGAGGCATAATGCTCTGTCGAAAACAATTATTACAGTAAATTCTCGATACTAACCGAGCTATCCCCAGATAAAACCTTAACCTAACCCCAAATCCAATTCCAACGTTACTCTTACCTACATCTTTTACGAAATAATACTTACAGCAAATGTCCCAGGAGAAAAAGTGGCCTCTGTTCACCAATAATGACTTAGACGCCTGCCTACCATTGCACCAGTGATGCATTAGCATGGTGCAGAGCCATCTATACACAGACTTTGGCCAACCCGGTTCGAGTTGGACACAATATGGCGACTACTGCTTTGTTGGGCAAGCACAAAACAAAAGAATATACGCCATGTTGTGACCCAGTGAAACCAAGTTGGCCAAATTCTGTGTATAGATGGCTCTGGCACGGTGATGAACCCCACCCCTCCTACGTTGGAAGGTCCGGAAGAAGAACAAAAAATAAAACTTGCAGTGTGCCTTACGGTGGCACACGTGGCTGCCCATAATATCCTCCTGTTTTATTCAATATAATAAGAATGTCATGATATTTCGATTTAAGACAAATTATTTAATTACTTTGTTTGTTCGTGTTTGTAAACAGAGGAAGAATTTCCTGACGTATTAAATGAGGTAGTGGTTCCCATCTACAATCAGACACAGTGTGATGAACTTGTCGGTGACGTCACCGATAACATGATCTGTGCAGGACTGAAAGAGGGAGGTGTTGATGCTTGTTCGGTAATCACTTGGACTTCTGTCTTTTTGTATATTATGTCTGCGTTTTAGAGTACTATCTTTCCATTTGTCAAGGTTATTTTTCATATTGCCATGCCTAACGTGGAAATTATTTTTGGGGAAGGTGTAACTTTATACCATACCGTAGTCACGGGTAATTCATTTCATTCTTGCTTCGGCATGGGCCGTCATTGTCATGTAATCTACATTCTTCGAGCACTAAAAAATTCTACTCGTGGCCTTAACAAAATGTTCGCCACATAATTACATATAAATTCTATTAAGTTTGTAGTTTTATCTACCGATGTTTGCCCTATGTAAGGTGTACTATAGGGCATTGCTAGTCACCCCTGTTAAAAGTTTACAGCAATATCATATTCTTTACTTTATTAAGTATCATAGTCTCAAAGTTATTTTTGTCGTTTTTCCCCGTCCATTCTATTGTTTTAAACGTTATCTTCAAAACATGCGGCCTACATTTCGATAACGCCATAAACAAGTTAATATTGTTTTCGCCGCCGCCGCCGCCCCCTTTATTATTCAACCATTGTTTGTGTACAGGGTGACAGTGGTGGTCCCTTAGTGGCGTATCCATCGAATAACACCGACCAGTACTATCAGATTGGTGTGGTGAGCTGGGGGAATGGGTGTGGCGATCCGAATTCACCCGGAGTCTACACCAGGGTCACACGTTATGAAGACTGGATCCGATCGTTCTTTAACACCCCAACTCAAGAGTCATGTAAGTTGGACTGTCTTCACGGCGTAGCTAGCGTCCGTCGTTGAAGCTATTGTTGGGGCACTGGTATCTTGTGGGGGGGGGGGGGGGCATTGGTTTTATTAACTGATAATAATAATCAGGCACGTAGCCAGAGTTTGATTTTTTTTTTTTTTTTTGGGGGGGGGCACATACATGTAATCGATCGAGGTAAAAAAAAGGGGTCTAAAATAGTTCAACCGATCTTGGGAATTTTGGGGGCAATTTTTCTCTCACCTTCTTTTTATCCCCTTCTTACCTCTCCTCTCTTTTCTCTTCCCCTCTCCTCTTCTTCTCTTCCCCTTTCTCCATCTTTCTACCTTTCTCTGTCTCGCACTCTCTCTTTCCCCCTTTCTCTTCTTCTCTTTATCAGCTCTCAGTCGCTTCTTCTCCTTCTTGTTTTTCTTCTTGTTTTTCTTCTTCCTCTTTTTCCCTTTTTTTTTTCTCTCTCTTTCTCTTTCTCTCTCCTCTCTCTGTCCCGGTTTCTCTTGTGTGAATGCAATCAATAATGAAATGAATAATTCTGTATTTCTCATTTTCTAAACCTTATTTTAGATGTACCATGCATTTGTACGGAAGAAGAAGAGAAAGTGTCCTCTACGATCATAGCTGTCATTTCTGTGCTATCAGTTTTGTCGGCCATTTTCATAGGAACCAGCATTGGCCTCGGATTATATTTATATAGACAAAACAAAAAGGGTAAGAGGAAAACTTAATCAACTGCAGCATCTTTTCATTAAAAAAGTCCTTTCGAAATTACCAAACTTACGCTATTCAATTTATCAAAAGTTATTTCCTTGTCTGCTATTATCTAGAGCAATTTTGATGTAGTCATATCTAGAATGTTAGTAGTATTGGTGAAAAAAAAATGTATTATTCAGATTTCATGGGTCATTGTGTCAATCATAGATTTGTTACCTATCATAATTTGTTATATCACAACAACAATGAATATATATAAATAAACAAAAACACACTGCCCCTTTTAGAATGAAAAGGACTGATCATTTTTTCTCTTTCTCTCTCTTCATCTCTTTGTTTTCAGAAGCTGGCAAATAGAGGGCGTCATTATTCGAAACCGTATTGAACGCCAACAACATCCGAAGCGGGTAATTGTCCATGGGGTAGGGGCCAAGGAAGTCGTCAAACTCGTCATATTTTCTACATAAGATTTGTGATAAGAATATAGAAAAATGGATGAACAGGATGAATAAATATTCTTAAGAATAAAACATGTCCTATTCCAAATTGTATATTATTCTTAAGACATTGTTCCTTTTTAAGTCGGATGTAAAACCGAATAAACAAATTTGTCATGTTCCCTTTTTTGCGAAAATATCTATGATTAATCAAGATTATCAGCGATGGTAACACCCTGTTGAAACAAAACACTTAGCAATCTACTCGAATAAAACACATTATATTCCGCGTGTCACGTTTGTTTGTCTAGCTATTATCATTAACAAGTCGTTGACACAGTTTGCTACTAGATATCATAATGGTAAATGCCAAATCTTATCTGCAAAAGGGAGTAACGTCATTTAATGAGTGATAAAGGTCAATAGCCATTTACATAACGTAATCAAATTCAATGCATACATCTTTGTTACGTACCTCGTTTGACACATTATAGTATGTCAGCAGGCAGCATGAATATAATGCAAATTGTGTATATTTCGTGTTGCAGGACAAATTTTTAACCGACCTAGCAACAACTTATGTTTGCAATTCGCATTATGACAATAGAATTACAATATATAATAAATTAAAAGTATAAGCTCGTCGCTATTGGAAATGATATATTTGCAATAGGCCATTTTCGACGTGTAATCAAATTTAATGCACAAATCTTTCTTAAGTGCCTCGTTACAAATGAATTACTTCACCTCTTACAAATAATCGTATTTCAATAGTCAGAATTCCAATTGCATACATTAATTGTTGTTTCGTAGGACAAACATTATGGCTTGTTCTACCTAACAACACGGAAAATATTAAAATCGCATTCTGACTACTTAAACACAATTATTTGTAACATGTGAATGGAATTATTTGTAACGAGTCATTTGGCAAAGATTTATGCATTAAATTTGATTACATTACGAAAGTGGCCTATTTGCAGGTTGCGGTCTAAATACAAGTTTATGTTATTTTTTGATCTAAGGATCATTCAGAACCTTGCCATTTCTTACGTTGCTACTTACGCAACCATTCATCATGACGACACATCGGAATTTCGCTCTTCATCAACCCACTGTTGTTGTGATTAAAATGGACTTACTGCCTTCTGGTCGCAAACAAATCCATGACGGTGGTAGCGAGTTCCAAAGGTGGACAAGATTAAGATATGACCTTATGAACCTGCATGCATCCTCGTGATATGGAATATTCCACTACTAATGACGAATATCATTGTTTTCTTACTCCATTGCACTCATCTGTGCAAGCATTATGTGCGTCTTCGTGGTCGTATAGACCATATGTGAAGCATACGCCATGCAATGATTTCTGAGTCCTTTAACCTAAACCAAAAAACTGACTTACAATCAATTTCGTTAAATAATTCAGTCTTATCCCCAATCTTACTGGAATGGATTGTATCTTACCATTAAGTGTATCTATCTGTATTTTACGATGTATTGTAAAGTGACGATTGATTGAATTAGTTCCTATTAATTTAGGGGAGATACGATATATTTAACATTTTACTTTTGATGAAGACGTCAGCTCAAGCTGTGCTTATAACGAACCCTTTTTGCTAATGTATGATTTTATGTGACCACACATATTACAAATCATATATTTATGATAGCGTATATGGGAAATAATTGAACTTCAAATCAAAACTTCAAATGCAACTTTTTATGTTACAGGGCCCTAAACAGATTTCCTTGAACATGTGTAAATAACAGTATAATCAAAATGTTTTAAAAGGCTTGAGACAGGAAATCTAAAAGAAAATTGAGTATTAAAATGTCGCTTGTAAGGCTATATAAAATTGAGAAGCACGTGCGCATAGCATACACACACACACACGCACACGTACGCTTTCTCGGCTTCCAATATGAAGATAAAAATAAACTGATGTGATCATATCATTTTCCATTCCACATCGTCCTTTATTTACAAATCAATTTCGTATCTACAATGATATTCAAATAATGAAACAAATTATATCATTAGATTGCTAAACAATGGTCATGATCATCACGACACAAACAAAATGGGGCAGAGAAATACACAAATGGCAACATTGATATTTCAATACTTGTGAAACTGAAAACTGCCAACACAAAACATTTTCTAAAAACACATCATTTTAGGGGGCTTTAATCATGTTTATGAGATTCTTTAAAGAAGGCCATGGTTATATCGTCTTTAAAAGCATCTCTTTTGAACCCTTGGTAACAAGTAAAACGGAAGTCATGATTGCTTTCCAATCTCGCCTGATCCCAAAGAAAAAGAAGCAAGTAGATTGTATATAACATTGCTCGTTTTAAAGCACCCCCAAAACGCTGTCAAAATAGCTACTAGGTTCTGAAACCATACGACATTTTTTTTGAAATCCTCTGGTATTGAAGTCTTTTGTGGGGTCATTTAAACTCTTCTATTCCAAATTGATTTTCCCTTCGTAGTTATGTCCAGCCATCCAAATTGGATACCAAAACATGTTGAATGATCTTTGAATTTGATTTGTCTCTTTTTCAAAAATGTGTTCCTTCTTCTTCCAAAGGGGGGTCATTACCCGCGGCTGCTATTATATAAGTAACGGTCAATGTCCGAAGACTGTCTAGTTGGTCAAACTTCAAGGCAACGCAACTGTCCTTCCTGCTTTGCTTGTACTTAACTGAACTAAAAGCATCCTACAAAAAAGTATAGAGAAAGGAGGAACTGTGAAATGGAAGAAAAAAAAGAAAAAAAAACAATGAAGGAAATTCAGTAAGACAGTCAGGAATAATTATAACGATCACAAGATGTATCTAAGAAGAAAGGTAAAATTGAGGCATAAGGAAGGTAGAGAAATCAAGGGAACAGACAGAGAAAGAGAATGAAAAGGAGAAAGAAAGGAGATAGTGAAAGAAGAAGAGAAAGAACGGAAAGAGAAAGACGGAAAGAAAAAAAATCAAGAGGAAACGGAATGTAAAGAAAGAGAGAGAGAGAGAGAGAGAGATAGAGAGAGAGATAAAAGAGAGAGAGAGAGAGAGATAGAGAGAGAGATAAAAGAGAGAGAGAGAGAGAGATAAAAGAGAGAGAGAGATAGAGAGAGAGATAAAAGAGAGAGAGAGAGAGAGAGAGAGGGAGAAATAAGTTTAAAGATTGAGATTACGACTTTAATTCATCATATGCCATGGTGATAGGAAATTAGGCCATGTACCATATAGGATTAAAATTCCACTGATAAAGCTACGTACAACCAGACAATGGGGCTCATAAACCTAGATATATTGACGTTGTAAAAAGTATATAGGCCTATAGAAATTACGCAATTTAAGGTCACTATTCTATAATAGTGAAGGTCACTTTTGAGCACTCCTATGTTACAATATGAATCGTAATATAATCTCTACATCCACAAAGTAGATCCTCTTTCTAATAAGTGTAGTATATTATTTACAAAATAAAACAATAACAAAAGAGATCACGTGTTTTATACTGAACAACAGTGATAACGACTGGGTACAAATTACACATTTTCATTTGCACCATGAACATTGAGATTGAAGCTTACAACAAACAACAACAACAACAACATGTAAACACATTTTGATTTTAATAAGAATATCTTACATTGCTTAGAATTAGCAAAAGGAACGTATTTTCAGGTACTTATGTAACTTATTTTGGCTGTAACTCAAATGCATCGCTCCTTGGGCGTGCAGGCTTGATGGTATTAAATAAGTAATGTAAATAATTACCACGGGTTAGCATGGGAGCTAGTACAGCTGTATTCAGTCTCGTGGGAAAAAAAACGCCTTATATGATAAGGGCTAAGATAAGGGCCAAGATGGCGGATAATGGACACTCCTCGGTTCAGCCATGGTTCAACAGCCGAAGGTATAAACATAAGTGATATTGAATAACAATAATAAAAGAAAAACCTATATGTAATAGTTTTCTGATGGAGTTTGCGCGAGCAAAGTTGTCGGAGGTTGTCGAAAGTTCTCGAAGGTTGTCGAAAGTTCTCGAAGGTTGTCGAAAGTTGTCGAAGGAAATAACACGACGATGGCAAAGTCTTTCTAAATATCAACTTGTGTCCCTTTCCATTACCTTTTAAAGGTTTATAGTAGTGGGTTCTCACGGGAAATTTGACACCATTCGGGTGTTTACCCGAGAAAAGGTGTTGCTAGACACCAAGAGTGGTATACGACCGACGGGTCTTGTGTATAAATGAACTGTCCCCTTAGCCTAGCTCTTTTATCAAGTGATTATATGGCTGTGTTTTATTACTATGAAGGCTGATTATTCCTTTATAATCAAACATTTTTGGTCTAGATCCTGTCTTATCACATTCAATCTGCACCGTAAAATCAGGTCTGGCAGACAGGGACTGAAATTCGGCTTCGGAATTTCGATGCGACTGCGGAGAACCCCCCCCCCCCCCCTCCATGACCAGTCCTCCCCTGGGGCGGACTCAATTTAATAAATGATTGATAATAATACTACTAATAATGTTGGGTTCTTGTATAGCGCTCATATCTGTCAGACTTGAGTATTTGACACTCCTGGCGCTTTAGAATAGAATAAGCAAGAAGATCACTTAATTCACCTGTCCTTACAAGTCAACAAGTATTTAATGCTTAATGGGGCACAAAAAATAAGATGACATACTTTATCATTTTTTTAGATCTAATATTAGAGATGATTAAACGTGTTCAAACAGAGGCGACCACTTTAACGGGCGTATGAACACATATGTTACGGTATAATTTATCACCCCAATGTTTACTTAAAGATTTCAAAACATATTTCAACTCATGGCTCAAACTTTTACATCTGATTTTGACACAATTATTGGATAGCCGTGGATGATTAGTATACATGGTGTTCACATCGGTGATTAGACCCAGCGTAGACCCCTACCACCACCCCCCCCCACTTTCAAAGAGAAGAATGGATTACAATGGATAAAAATCGCAATAGAATCACTAAATAACACTATAAGTTTATCTTTACGGTATGATTATTTTGTAGATGCACTAATTAGTTATCCTGACCAATCCTAACCATGTTAACTGTACTTATGATGCCATAAGTTATTATTATTATTATTATTAAAACGGTTGTAATTATGTAATATATTTGAAAGGCCTGCTTTTATTTCTGTGCTCATACTTTCAAGCATAACATTTCATCGCTTAGCCTGAACAAACTATCTGCATTAAATACTATACACCCATCAATGATGCAAATCGTGTATCAAAATAATCATGCATTGCGCGTTCTTTGTTTTAACTCCAGATTAATTCCATTGTTTGTTAATTGTATTTGCCAGGCTGCAATGGAACCTTACGACCCTGCGATAATAGTTTTATCACCCTCCTCGATCAATAATTAACCGTTTTATTTGCCTTTGGAGTAGTCCTGAAGTGATAACCCCGACGGTAACGGGGGTAAAGTCTACCCCAATCCCAGCCGCCTGGGAAACATCCCAAGCGGTGTAATGTTACAGCGTCATTGAGATACAAATTTTTCGTACGACAGACAACTAAAACAGGTAAGCCTCCGCCGCTCGTTACGAAATATTTCGTTTGGGAACAGATTGTTATGATTTGTACGAATGAGGTTATGATTGCATTGTGATGATGTAGTGAGAGTTCATTTTGTGAAGATGATGATGAGAATACTTATATTTTATTTCATAGTATTTTACATTAAGTATCGTGTTGTGACATAGCATGTATCCATACAGTCTGCTACATGTGGAGGCACATCTTGATCTATGTGGAATCCAAGTATATGTACAGTTGTACAGTGCATATCGAAAACAACCGACCGGAGATATATGTTGCTAACCAAACCCATGCACATGTCTTCAATATGGTGTAGGCCTATTCATGTATTTTGTAACAACTCGATAATGGAAGGAGTTGAACTTGAAGGATTTTTGATTAACTAGTTTGATTGTGATCGTGATTGACACTGTATTTATTTTACTCCCTACATTATGAGGATCATGTCAATCTCATCGCAAAGAAAGACAATTAGCATATAGAGGAAAATGAACTGTATGAATAGATGAAGAGAAGAGGAGAGAGAGAGAGAGAGAGAAAGAGAGAGTGAGAGTGAGAGAGAGAGAGAGAGGAGGAGGAGAAGGAGGAGGATAAGAATGACAAAGGGAGAGAGAAAGAGAGGGGCGGTACTCAAAACTGCAGTGTTCTGAGCAGATAAGACGTCTCCTCATGAACATAAGGATCATCACCTTTGAACTTGGATAAATCAATTTTCCTATTTCGCTATACAATGGGTTGATATGCCCACTGCAGTCGTTGAAATCGTTGTAATCTGAAACGAAATATGTCCAAGTGTACCAAGAGCATCGTATCAACATAAAAATCCATTCAAGACGAGGACTTTACACACAGGAGATCAGGAGTTCAAGAGAGCGAAAAGAAGGGCGGTTGCGGGAATGAATATGAAGACGGGGGGGGGGGGGGTGTGTGTTGGCACGACTGTTTTTTTAGGAGCAAATACCAGGAGTATACGACCCTAATACATTTCGCATAAAGCAATGATTATAACATCATTCATCAGACAAAAAATGTATCATTGTTAGAAGAAATTGTACATGTTTATCACCAAACATATAAGTGTCAATTACTACTGCATTATAATAATTGATTCATATTCTACCAGATAAAATAATTCCTAAGCTTATCATGATTTATGAAATATGACTATTATAATCAAGTAGTGTAGTTGATATGATCCATTTTCCTTTTTATAGAATTTTGAAATTAAAACGTCACGACTATGTAAGGTAAATGATAATGGCAATCAACAATGGTGATAAAACGTCTTACGTTATACTCTGATGCAGGCACATGCACAAAGTTACTTTGTCATCAGTAGAGGAATAAAAATAGGATTAATGGATAAATTACAAAATATTATAGACGTATTGTTCTTCTATATCGTCACCTACTCACATAACGTTACTTTATGTCAGCACAATCCGATATAGAACATTGTAATGATTGAATATTTGTCAAATTTGTTTTCCTAAATCATCCTTACTCCAATCATAATGTTAACGATGTAGCAATATAATACAAAGATGTTGCATAAAATAGACATGTTCTCTTTGTCAGAAGTAAAAGGAGAATCATATTCTGCTTACACTCACAGCAAAAAAGTATTTAAAAGTATTAGTTGAACATATTAGTATTTCATTTTTAAACCACCATTTGAATCATTCCATGAGCTATGTAAACTCTTTTTTTTTTTATTAAACAACAGGAAACATACTTTGACTTTTTAATTACATGATACATCTAAACATTTGTTTGGAGTTGTCTCTCTTCGAGTCAGACAAATAATGTGTAGTCAATCAACATGTCAAATAAATCGGAACATTATTATTTCGGTTATTCATTGTGTGAACCCGAACCAACGTGGCAAGTTGATTTAAACGATACATGACTGGTCGCCATCTTAAGTTTATAAGTAGCCGCATTATCATATTGTGACGTAATATCTATGATTACGGAGAAGTCTGGCACGGGATGCTTGGGTGTAGTTTTCTTCCTCTCAGTTAGTTTTCTACGTATCACGTACTATTATGTAACTCTTTAAGCACTACAAATCTTAATTTTATCTTTCATCCTTCGCTCTTAAGGGATTTAGAATTAAAAGGGCTGCTTTTTATGAAGTTCCTTCAATCATTTATGACTAAATTACAAAATTTGAGTGAACCTAAAATCATTTTTCATTGCGTTTTTGTTTTGTTTTGACGGGGTGTGTTTAGTGTTCATTGTTTTGTAATCGTGGTCTCATCAGATGATTGCATTTACCATCATTATCTGATGTTTGATTTTGATACGTTTATCTGAATTATAAAACAAGTGAAAAGTTGAACTGAACAATCAAAAGTGATGGAATTGATATGTATTTTGGTAAAATAGTTTCGTTCGGGAAGTTATATGCTCTTTGATGAGTCTCAACCATGAAAAAACAAATCATTTGATTCTAAATGCCCGACAATGATGGGGCACACAAATTATTTAACAAAGAAAACAAAGAAATAAAGTGTTAGCAAACTGACAATGATCATCTGTTTTTCAAACTCCATGTAAAAGGTCAATAAATATAAAATTATCTTCTGGAAAAATAGAAGTGTCAAATAATCTTATGAGTTACTTGTCTGACTCGGCAGGTGACAGATCTGTTGTCATCTCACAAAACTAATTTCGCGCTCTCACAAAATGAGGTATGAATATATTGTATACAACTTCTATGATATTTGTAGCAGATATTCCTGGATACGTGTGAAGTATGGATTTATAGAAAGAATGATGAAGATCCAATTAACATACATAGTGAGCAAGGAGGAAGTGTTAAGAAGAGCCTAAAGTGAATAGGAAACTGTTCTGTGGACATAGGACCAGGCAGATATGAGATGGTTGGGAACGTTTGTTACATGAAGGAGGTTTGGAGAATCTGACATTGACGCGCGAGAAGCGAAGGGAAGAGGAGTAATAGAAGGATAATGGTATTATAAATGGCTAGCATGAAAGAAGGAGAGAGAGAGAGAGATAGAGAGAGCGAGAGAGAGAGAGAGAGAGAGAGAGGAGAGAGAGAGAGAGAGAGAGAGAGAGGAAGAGAGAGGTTTCTTTGTATAGAACACATGCTTTTTTATTTGACTTAATGTATACCTAATTCCTAATGTGTAGATATTTACAACAAGTATATACATCTCGGTAACCTTTTTTTATTTTTGAGATTTGATTAAATCGAAATTCCTAAGCTTAATTCAATTCACGAATCTGACAGAAAATTATATTGACAATACCGTTGAGAAATTGTATTATATGAGATCTCTTTAACGATTTTACTGCCATTATCAAAGATAATCGCAAATTGTCCAAAGTTCACTCCGTATAATCGCCAAAAAAGTTTCCTAACTCAAAGAGTATTTGCTAACTTAACTTGTTTGCTTTAGATAAAACATTTTGGGTCGTGACGTAGTGCCCATGTTTGAATACAAATGCATCGTCATTATAATAAATACAAATGTTAAATGTTTTCTTTCTTCTGTCTTTATTCAAGCTGAAGTGTTTTTGCGTGTTCCTCCATAATTGACTTGTATGTTAAAGAGTAAAGATGATTCAAGCGCCATTAAGTTTTTAATGTAGTTTATGGATGTATTTTATGCTTCATTTCTAAAGGTCGACTTTTTCATACGTTTCATGTAGCGTGCTTGAAAAGGAAGATGTTCAATGTTATCTTCATGACATTAAATGCATTTATTGAGCTGTATATGTTATATTAAAACAGATTATCATTAATAATAGTAATAATAATAATAGTGTATACTTATAGAGCGCACACACCGTCCAGGGACGCTCATGGCGCTAGCTCAGCAACAGTTCTCTTTGATACAAGTAAAGTAAACAATTTTGCAATATTCATATAACCCATTTCAATCCTCAGCTCTTCTACTACTGTCATGTTTTTCCCTTACGCTTTTAATTCTGTTGGTACTAAATGTATTTTCAATCCTTAGATGGTATACATAACAAGTTGAATGCAATTTACACTTCCTGTTCTCCAAAAGAACAAAGCGTAGATGACGCTCTTAGCTTTGGAATGACAATAATATTAAGCTGTTTCAATTCTAGATGTGTTTATTTTTTATTTTTCAGAAACAACATGATTATTAGGATACATCAACTATTGTTACTAGCTTTGGTAGCTCCAATTCTGGCTCAGGAGTGGCAAGGTAAATATATAGTTATTATCATTTCATTTCATCTTGATATATTTTATCCAGTTCCGTAAAACAGTTTTTAAAACAGACCCTATTTGAACTGGTTTCTAGCTTATATAGTTGAAAATAGTGAGTATATTATCCCAAGGGGTGGGAGACCGGGGGTGTGGGGGGGGGGTTGCTCAATGCACCTACCAAGTATTACTATTGCCCTCCTAAGACGCAGAAAGCGCTCAATTAAGGAATGACTACACCTGGGTTGAGAGAGGCAAACTTAGATTACTATCTTGCCAAAGGTCCTTAATGTCGGGGTTGGGACACATTCCGGCGACGTATCACCTAGACAGCAACACGGCCTTCACCATCCTTTCTAACCTTTTCAAATGTATTTTATTAATGTACTTACAGTATTTTAAAGTATTTATTTGTTCATGTTTATTTATCTGTCTATGATTTTATTGATTTAGTCATTCATTCGTTCATTCGTGTATTCATTAATTTATTCATGTATTTATGTATGTATCTATTTTTTGATTAATTCGTTTATTCATGTATTTATTTACATATTTATTTATCTATTTATTTATTTATATAGTCAATCATACATTCGTTCATTCATTTATTTATTCATTCATTCATTTATTCGATCATCCCTCTATATGCCTATTATATATATATATATATGTATATATATATTTATTTAATCATAAATGTATATATTTGAATGTCTATTTCATTTCATTCGTTATAGATGAATCTACATGTGGCCTCCAGTACAAGGGATCAAGTTCCATGATCGTCGGTGGCCAGATGGCCGATGAGTTTGAGTACCCATGGCAAGCAGCTTTCTACCGAGGCGGACGCCGGATCTGCGGCGCTTCTCTCATTGATCCATACTGGATCATCACGGCAGCTCACTGCGTGTAAGTCCCGTTCCAATAGCTTGTTCTCTTTCGTGTATAATAATAATAGCCAGGGGCGGATCTAGGTGGTGGGGTTTCGGTGGTTCAACCCCCCCCCCTCCCCCCTTGGGCGGCCAAGTGAAAAGAAAAGAAAAAAAGAAAGAAAGTAAGTAAAACAGTAAAACGGCGCGATTTTTGGCAAAAAGCTAGATCCGCCCCTGAGTGTGTGTGTTTGTGTGTGTGTGTGTGTTGGATGTGTCTGCTTGTGATTATTATTAATGTTTTACTTATAATTTGTTAATTTTGTCAAAGGGGCACCAGTCCACAAGATCCTGATCTTTTTTGGCTGCCCCTAACGATATGTTAATTTTACACATGTATATGATTATGTCAATATGTTTTATTGCATTGTACTATTTTCTTTTATATCGCTGAATAAAGATGAATTGAAAAACGATTGGTGTACAGCTGCGCAAAAAAGTGTACACATTGGAGCATAGCGAGTAACCTTTGACACTGTGCACATTTAAGCTTAACCTGACATTAAATTTAGCAGTGAAATTACATAAACAGAAACATAATACTTTACAGGAATTGGATAGTAGTACGGTAGTCATTTTAAACATGGATCATATTTGATAAATGACAATTTCAAAAAGATTATCCTTTCTTCCCCTTAAGTCTTACTGGTAATTCAATCTCTGGAAATGCCTCTCAGTTTAAAAATGGGTTCTTGTATAGCGCTCATATCGATCAGACTTGGCTTTTCTTGATACGTATATCGGGTATTGTTACAGATCTTATAAAACGTCTATACTGTCCTATTTATTCGTCCAGGTGGACGACAAAGCTTTCTTTAAAAAAAAAATCTTTTGGCGGTATAATTCTTCATTCTTTCTATAAAATTTGAAAGCAATGCATAAACTCTGAAACATCTTTAACCGTTAGATACCTGTGACAGTCACGAAGTGCGGCACGAGGTCAAGTCTAACTCTGAGAACAGGTGTTTCAGTATGATCATTTAAGGGTTTTTTTCTTTTGGGTTTACCCATGTCTTGAGGGGCATGATGACTAAGTTACAGAATTTTTGATCCCTTTTAAAAATAACTACGGCAGAAATGATACGGGATATAAAACATTGGCGTTGGTCATTAACGTTGAAATTCGCTTTAAAAAAGCCACCATAACTTTGATTACAGGCATTGTGTTTGTATCTCCCTTGAATCAAATCAGTCAATATGAATCAGACAGAAAAAACGGCGTGTTTCTGACTCGCGTGGGTGGGGGCACATTTTTGACTTATTTACTGAAGGTATGTCACTCGGGTTTCAAGGAGTAGCACGGGGTAAGGGACACTTTTTTTTTTTGGGGGGGGGGGGTCTCGAAATTTGAAAATTTGACATTTTGCTCTGTTGGGGGGGGGGTCATCTCTTTTAGGTCAGCCATTGACATAATTTAAAAAAAAAATCACATAGGGGGGGGGGGGGTTGCTCCAAAATACACACATACAAAAGTGAAGGGGGGGTTCAACCCCCAACCGCCCCCCCCCCCCCTGCGTACGCGCCTGGTTGCGATTGATATCAGCTCAGACGGGGCCAGAAATAAATTCAAATTATATTCAAAACTAAAATCTCTACTTTTTATCTCACATCAAATAACCAAAACAGAGATATCATCTTCGAGCCCGAGATCTTCGAATTCAGGGTGGGCTCCAAGAGTCTTGTCAATGAGACCGACTCAACCCAGATGCGTCGGGCAATGGAACTCTACGTCCACCCCGACTTCAACCCCTCCACTTTGGACTACGACATCGCCCTCTTCAAGATGGAGAAGACGTTCAACCTTTGGGGCGACCACGAGGTGAACACGGTCTGTTTGCCGAAGAAGAGCGACGAGTCGAGGTTCTTGGTCGGCGAAGATTCAGTCGTCACAGGCTGGGGTGCTCTGGAAGAAAGCGGTAAGTAATTTTTTTATATTTTTTTAATTAATTTATTTATTTCTAATCTTTTGTCAGGGTAGCCCATTCACCAATAAGTATTGGTCCTCCATTGGACCCTGAATAAACATGAACATATTTAAATAAAAAAGCATTACGTTTATACAGAACAGTTAAAATGAAATTCCATAATACATGTCAATAGTAAATGAACGCATCGCCCTTTTATTTGGACTCTTATTTTTGTTATCTAATTTTGTCCTTGTGCGTCCCGGAATAGAAATCATAGACAGACGTCGCAATGAAAAGGCCTAGTATTATTATTATCAGTATGATTATTATTGTCCTTTTTTTATTATTATTGGGGTTGGCAAAACGGCCGCGAAGTCCAATTGAAGAACAAACAAAAAAATGAAAATTATAATTTTTCGGGATTGATAAACCACGCCTCTTGTTTTGCTCTAATATATTTTCGCCCCATCCTGTCTGACAATCTCTGATCCTGGTGTTTTTATACTTTATGAAACTTCAATTCTTAAATCGGTTAAAAACCTTTCAATTATATACATAAATATTTTCTCCCCCAGGCCCAAGTCCAACTGAGTTATACGAGGTCACAGTTCCTATCTACGACCAGCATGAATGCAACGTATCCTACTCGGGGGAAATCACTGATAATATGATATGTGCTGGAGTGGCAGAGGGAGGAATCGATTCTTGCCAGGTATGACTTACAAAGCAGTTGAATAAAACAGAATTTATGTGCCTGTTTCTAAGTATTGTATATTTGAAGGGGCAAGGGCGCGAATTCGGTTGTATATCCTTTCTTTTATTGATAGTAATAATACTATTAAAAGTATTTCTTAATGTATACATGGTCTTGCCCATTTCTACTAAATTTAATCTGGATGTTAGGCGATGATAAGCTTTTGGTCAAATGTTTTTTAACAAAAGAAATAAGTCTGAGCCTCTGAGGTCTACTTTTTCTTTGTGAAACGTGATTTTTTTATCAGGGCTCGGATTTAACTCAATTATTAGAGTACAGACCTTTGTGTAAGACTTTAGATCACTGAGTCAATCGCATTTATCACTTATATCTAGGAAATGTTTGCTATGTATGAATCCGTCTATTCGGGAGGTTTCTTGAAGTTCTCCAATCTGCATGTTTCAATTTATGATATTTAGCTTTAAAAATGTCGTAAATTGTAGTTTGTATTGTGTTTCATTATGTATTTACTAGTTATCGAAAACATCAAAGGAAGCCGAGAAAATCACGGTTTGTATATATTTTTGATTGGTCCTCGTTTTCAAAATGACGCATACAAGCAAGTGTCGTCAGCATGCATGAAATGACGTTATGAAGAAAAAAAAGGCAAAATGCACTCTGATTGTAAGTTGGTTTTATTAAAATTAGAGAAATCGTAGAAACAGATTGGTGAACGTAAAAGCAAAAATACAATACGAACAAGAAAGTTATGAACTTTTGAAGTCGTTATCAATAAAGCACAAATCGGCGAATCTGTGACGTATTTTCGACTTCTCCCATTTTTTGATGAAGGAATAGATTTGTTTTATACAAGGGTGATGTAAAAATTATGATATTTATGGTTCATGTACGATTGAACATTTTTCTGAGAGAAAGTCGGAAATTATGAATCTCTGTACAGTGAAACTTGGAGAGAACCTCGAAATTTTATGTGCACCGTCAAATATTCATAACTTTCTTATTTTCAATCGGATTTTGCTCAAACTTTCACTGTCGTGTTTCTCCAACTTTTCTACTTCTATAAAAACCAACTTAAAATCAGGGTGGACTGTTCCCTTAAGAAATGTTTCAGTGCACAGAACAGACTTTAAGAAAATACTTCCTTCTACTGCATCTTAAATAATAAACAAAAAAATAGATTACCATTAGTTCGGACTCAGGTAAAATACTGTTTAAACTATTTCCAACAATTGGTAGCAAAAATATACTCTGTCACGAAATATATTTTTATTCTGTCTGACCATGATTATCAGGTTTAGTACACCTAGTCAGATGGCATGGTATTTCGTCAATCATTGCATTTGTGACTTGATACATCGAAAGCGTTTGAAAAAGACGGGCTTGGTTGTTTTTATATGAATGTAATCATGTTTATTGATGTAGCTTTTTTTCTTCTCGCAAACCACTTTAATTGAGAACCTTGTAGTTTTCAGATTTCTGAATCATTAGTTTAATAGACTGTGTCATCATCTCTTTGAACAATGAAATGTTTCTCGCTTTTCAGTTATAAAACAAGGTCTGTTGATTTCTTTTATTCTTACACATTTCTAGCTACAAGAATATAGTTTAATTTTAGATTTTCTTTCTTTAAGGTATCGCAGCACTTTTTCCTGCAAACGTAAAACACGTACTTGAGAAACTGCATTGTGTATTTCGCCTACCGTTCATGATAAACCGATGATAAAAAAAATCGGACCTATAGTTACAAGGTCACGTGACCTTTTGTCTTTGCATGTCAGCCCGAAAATCGCTCATTTTTGTGATTTGTGTACAAAACATATGGAAATGTCATTTTTCCTAAAAATAGATCAAACATTGGTTATTGGGTCTTGTTTAAAGTTTAGGTGGTTGTTTTGGGAGTCAAAATAGTTGAATTGTAGGAAGAAATGAAAAAAAACAAAAAACAATAACATAAATAAGTTTAAAAAAACAATGAAATACATAAGAAATTATAAAAACAAGAGATAACATAAGGAATAAGCTGGAAATGGCTCTTCCAATTTTTTTTGTCATATAATTGTTCCAAATGGTCTAATGAATATATGTAGTGAAAAAGAATGCTTAAATATGAATAATATAGGATTTATGGGTAAAAATGTGATTTTATGACGTTATTTGCATAAATTACCATAAATATGCAAATGAGGGATTTTTTTTCAAAAAATTGAAATTATCATATTGTTCTATACACTTCACTTGACATGCGTGCAAATTTTCGCGGAGATCGGCCGTTTCACGGCCGAGATCTTAGGGGGGGCCATAATGCCCCCCCCCGGCCGTAGTAAGACTTCAATAGCCCGGCCTTATTAGGGTTAAATAGGTTCGTGTTGTTAAGAATCCACTGCTTTCTGCTCCAACAAACGTTCACATGCGGAGTCGTTTATCAACTAAATTATTCAAATTTATGGATGCTTCCTTCCCAGGTGTTTGTGTTGTTGAAGCATTTCATTCACCTGCTATCATTCTTTGTACTCCAATTGCCAGAACGCAAATTACATTTTGGTTTTATTGTTTCATCGGAGTCGTTTATCAACTAATTATTCAAATTTATGAATGCTTCCTCCCCAGGTGTTTGTAGTGTTTATGCATTTCATTCACCTGTTATTTTTTGTATTCATATTGTTAGAATACAAAATGCATTTTGGTTTTATAGTTTCATGCAATAAGTAAGTCAATAAAAGAGTATGTTCTGCACAATAAAAACAATGTGTGTCCCTATTGTAAAATGTAATATGTGTCCCCTCATTTTGTAATAGTTAATTTACCCATTCACATAATAGAACTACCTGCCTGGTGAAGCCACTGGTCCGTGACCCCTGAGCACTCAACACCGTCTGGGAGTCAGTTTGTGTTCAACTTCTTTTATGAGACAAATACAAGCAAACGTTTCCATATGTAGAAACCTGATTTAGCTTTATTTGGTCCATCAAAACAGCGCGTTTGGGATGATAAAAACAGTGCATATCATCTATAATTTTATGTCTTTAGCAAAATTATATTCACTCCAAGCAAAAAATAAAGATGAATTAGGTTCATACGTTGAGTCTTCGGAATACTTTTTAATACTATTATGTATCAAATTTTTGCCTCGCTACGAAAGTTAGAATTCAAGCTGCATATAATTGTTAGGTAGGGCAAGCCATAATGCTTGTCCAACCTAGCAACGACTAATTTATGCAATTTACTTTAAGACTACTGATATACTAATGATATACTAATGAATCAGACACTGCACCGGCATCAGACCAAACATACTTTTACATTAATAATAATAATAATAATCCGGTTTTTTATATAGCGCTCAATACACCGATCCAACGATGTACCTAAGCGCTTTACAGATATATTATTACCCCGGTCATCGGATTCAGGCTTACCCGCACACAATGTGTGCACATTTTCCACTCCCTGGGGAGCATTCCAGCCAGTCGCCATTTTACAGGCGCACACTTGCTCGTTCAACCACATGAACGTTCGCATCCTACCGGGTACCCATTTAACACCTGGGTGGAGAGTAGCAAGTGCAGGTAAATATCTTGCCAAAGGATATTAGTTGCCGTGTAGGAATGACCAAGAATCTGTCGGTGTGACTCGGGCGTTACCATTTTATCATTTGATTTTCCATTTTTAGGGTGACAGTGGAGGACCCATGGTGGCATATAAGAACGGCACCACGGACCAGTACTATCTCATCGGGATTGTGAGTTGGGGATACGGGTGTGCTCGGCCAGGCCTCCCAGGAGTGTATACCAGGGTCACCGAGTTCGAAGATTGGATCAGCCCCATCTTTAATGGTGGAAACCCGACAACCAGTAAGTAAGAGATCGTGATCATCATGCAGATGCAGAAAACGATATTATATATATATCCCTCTCTTTTTTGTTTAAAGTGAAATCATTGTCACTACTAAACGATTTTGGTTACAGGAAATTGTCAAAATTAGCTTTCTGTTTGGTCTAGTAAGTTTGGCTTACGTTGATGATTGCAACATGACAAAAGGATGCCTCTCGTCAACATTATTATTCGATACAAAAATTATAAAAAGAAGTTTTTTAAAGCAGTTAGATATATAGTCTTATGGAAACATTAAAAAACCTTTAGTATTGAGAAAGAATCTCAGTAAGGAGGATGAAAAAGAGAAAGAGGATACAAAGAGGAACAGAGGAATGAAACAATATGGAAAGAAGAAGAAAAGGAACAAACTGGATTTTTCGATTGCTGACAAAGAACCTTACCAGTATGAGCTCAACAAGTCTAAATCTGCTAAATATTTATCTATGTTTATCTATAACAGAGGATGGTACCTGTGAGGCAGACGAGTTCTTATGCCGAGGTGGAGAGTGTATAGCCGACAGGTACAGGTGTTCCGGAAGTGGACAGTGCTACCATGACACGGACGAGGAATTTTGCGGTAAGGAATAAAATAATTTAATAACCATCGACTGATTTGATCTTGTTTTACTTTTTTATTTGGGATTTCAGTATAACTGTGCATGAGTCAACAGATGTAGATTCCCTGATTTCAAAGCGGGCAGAGTTCAATCTGTCTTCATGTTCTTTATAGGCCTACTGTATTTGACTACACTATGGCATAGCGAGCGCAAGTGGTTATTTATGCGATCGGTAAGCACTTCCCTTCCACTCTTAGGCATCATAAACATATGACGCGGTACAATCCTACAGTTTTTTTCGTGATGACGTAAGTGTAATAGCCTACTCTTAATAGTTCTGTATCTCACTACACAGAGCTCAGTGAATACGCATAGGAACTTTGTACCGCGCACTTTACACTCTTTAACGTTATTGTGTTATTTTTAACCGCCGCGGTTGACCACTTCATTCATGATACTAGCCTTTCCACAATTGTTTATTGGACTCCTCCAGACGGACTCATGAAGATGTTCGATGTCTTCTACTACGATCGCATTGACCCAGCCAATATCACCAGAACCGACGACAACCAGGCGTCCAAGGAGCTCTGCGCCGACACGTGCCTCGACATCCGATGCCGGGCCTTCGATGTCACCGAGGAGGATGACGGCGACACCTTTAAATGCGACTTCGCCATGGCTGGCTTCCGCACCGTAGCCGAAGCCAACGATCAAAACAGGACTTTCAACCACTTCGTCTACCAGTCACAAGGTAATAATAGCAATGGTGATAGCAGGGGCGTAGCCAACAGGGGAGGGCGCACTGTATCAATGACATTTTTTTTGTTTTAATTTTTTTTAAATAAATATCAACAGCAACCATTGTAACAATAATAATTATTTTTGAAAGAAAAAGGCCCGTGCTGATATCTCAGTTTTTGTTATTCTCTCTCTCTCTCTCTCTCTCTCTCTCTTCATTCCTCTCTGAATTAAACTATAACACTATGATTTTTGTTATATTGTCGGTAATTGAAAAACTATAATGATTATCATTTCATCCTATTTTAGAACCCGGGAGTGAGCTAAACCAGGCCGCAGGTGTGATCGGATCCCCGTCCTATTTTGATGCCGAACTTGAGCCTGATAAGTGAGCAAATTCTTGCGTAATAAACCTTAAGCCCACCGCATACTATATGAGCCTTCTGTGATCTGGTTTTCAATTAAATCGCAATCGCATTAGATATGAAAACTTCCACAATACAGTCAAACCTGCTTTAGCGACCACCTTTATACGACTGAACTTACGATTGAGAGTCCTTAATTGGTTTGTTCCTTCAACGAAGCCTGCAGTTCTCCAACATTGTCATTTCATTATTCGTATAAGCATTTGGAACCTTGATTAAAAAGATTTTACATGTTTGGATGTTCAAGTTGAATACTATTTCAAATTCTTCCAAAATCGGATCGTAAAATGGTCGTTTAGTTTGCGGTGGGGCTTAATGAGCAAATTTGAACATTTTAACAAATTGTCTATTCGTCAAGCAATATTGTATTCCTTTTTATTGATTTTCGAGAAGTATTACAAGTTATGCAGATTATGTCCCGTACTTACAATTAGACCAAGTACTTCTGTGTTCAGCTGGGGCTCTAAAGAGATTGTGACGCAAACTTATATTTTTAAGACAAATTCAGAGAAACTTGTGGGACATGCAGTAACACACATTTTTCTGTAGGCAGTAGCCCCTCCCCATAATTTTCGCGCTCCTCTAAAAAAATATATACATGAGTAAATAGGAAAATTATAGGAATAAACAAATAAATGAATTGATAAAGAAATAAACAGACAAATAGATGTAAAGCACACAACAAAAAAACAGGTAGACAAATAAATATATGCATAATTGAATAAATACATAAGTAAATAAATGAATAAGTACGTGGAATAATTAATCAATTAGTTAATTATTCCCTTTTGCGTTTAAGTTTTGAGACATTTGAGACAGGGTACTTAAAAATCCCCTCATCCTCTTTTCGGTCCTGATAATCTCATTCACAAATTTACTAACGTGCCTTTCTCCGTTGCATCCAATATCATTTCATTTTACGAAACAGTCAGAGATACACGTGGACCATCAATGTGCCCCGCGCGAGCGCCGATACGACCAAATTCAATATCCTTGCCGTAGAGGGCAACTCCATGTGCGAGGACGTCGATATGGACTACGCGCTCCTGTCCATCGCCGGCACCAACGAGACTGAGAAGACCTCCTTCTGCCTCAACGAGTATGCAATGGGAGCCGAGTTCATGGTCAAGGGCACCGAGGAGGTCGTCGTCGAGATGATGACGTCAAACTCGTCTGCTTACGGATTCCTCCTCGAGTACGAAGCGAGTAAGTTGTGTTGTTAGAAGGGAGTTCCTGGAAAATGATAAAGAGGGAATGAGAGAGAGAGCGAGAGAGAGAGAGAGAGAGAGAGGGAGAGAGAGAGAGAGAGAGAGAGAGGGGGAGGGGGTTGCTAGACCATTCTTTATGTAGATACACACGCACACACACACACACAACAAAAATCACGAACAAATACCCCAAAAGTATATGAAGAGTTTAATTCCAAAGGAGCTAAATCCATTTTTGTTTCGTCAGAGAAAAAAGGAAATGTTTACCAGATTTTGTTCAGTCGTCTATGGAAAAGTCATATATATTAAAAGGTGCATTGTTTCACAAATGCTCCCAAAGTTTAGGTAAATAATTTTGTTGAAAGACATGTACTTAAGTGAACAATGTTCTGATGTGAATAACTCAATTTTCATTTAAAGTGGATTTAGCCCCTTTTGGAATTTAGCTCTTCATATGTAGAAAACAAACAAACATATAAAAAGAAAAGAAGCACAAATTAGAACAGAATTAAAACCGAATGAAGGAGGAGAAGAGAGAGAGAGAGAAAGAGAGAGAGAGAGAGAGAGAAAGAGAGATAGAGAGAGATAAAGAGAGATAGAGAGAGGGGGGAAAATGAGACAGAGGGATCGAGGGAGGGGTACAAAATATTATTTTTTTCCTCAAGAAGATGAGTGAGCGAGAGAAAATCCAACATTGAAAGCAAAGACAGCATTTTCTAATCTTTGTTGGCTCTGCTTCTTATGTGCATTGCTATCATTCTCCTTGTTTCAGTTTATGATTGCAACAAAGTCCACACATTGGCACCAGGAGCTGTGACGTCACCCAACTATCCTGCAGAATATCCCAACGATGTTTCCTGTACAACACACCTCATGGTAAGACCTTTCAACTTGGTTGCGAAACTTCTCAAGAAGATTTTAGCAAATATGTTTAAACATTTGATAAAGTCTTAACTAGAATGAATTACCCTGCACTCTTTTGCAAGACTAAGAAAAACGCTGCCTATGGCAATTTTGATAGTCTTGTTCATCACCCTGCGATATATAATCCTAAGGTGATTTGTAGTGTTGTATGACACTTGCTCCTGCGACAATATTGTTCGCGACAATTTCCTACAATATCTGAATTCTTAACCCCAGCCCTGGACCCAATACTACGCTCTATCCCTGACCCTAAAATGCCTAGGTCACATTTGCCCCGGCGGCCATGCGGTCTAAAATATCTACGGCCAATAGCAATTATAGGACCGCCGCAGCATTCCCACGGTCACATACAGTAGCGGTCACATAATTTATGTTAGGCTAGCCGCATGGCGTATTTTGAATTTGTGGATACAGAAATTCTGCGACTGCGTACGGCCTGTGAAGTGATCACGCACAGTCAACTTAGGGCGTCCCTGCGGCGGCCGTAGCATTTTGACAAATACTAAGGCAGACGCAAGGTGGCCGCAAGGCAGCCGAAGGGGGACCATACGGCGACCGTAGGCCAGACTGATGCTACCGCTTCAGTCTGTAAAGAAAATGCAAGGCTTCCGTACGCTCGACGTACGATCGCCGTGGAATCGCTCCACGGCATGGCTACGGCGTGTCTAATCTAAGCTATGGCGAACCTAGAAATGAAAACAGTTATAAATCCGCGTTATAATCCCACGGGGACCAGTACGGTCTCTAAAGATAGGGATACGCCCTAGGGTGACCCTGAGGCCACCGCAGATTCTCTGCGGCCGCCGCAAGAACATGTATCTCTCGATTTCGGGGGCGTACGGCCGCCGTAATCCTAGAGCATATGTGATTTAGGCATAATCTTAAACTTATTTTTAAACCTATTGACGAAATCAAGACGGAGTTTTTGTTGAAGGAGCAAATATCTGATTACCAATTTCTATGAGATATTAAATTGCTCTTAAAAGCCCTTTAGCTTGTTGAAAGTCTTTGCGGTCGTTTTAAATGTTCATTTCAGAATAATTCTGTTCTTTTCTTCTTCAGGCACCAGAAGGACAGGTAGTGTACTTCAACTTTAAGGCGATGAACGTCGAGGCCCACCCATCCTGCATATACGACTATGTCACCCTCTACAATGGTCCGGACCAGAACGCTTCTACTCTCGTTGGTCGTTACTGCGGCAGTAATGTGCCCACGACAATGTTCCAGTCGACGGGGCGGGACATGTTTATCATGTTTTCTTCGGATGGGTCGGTAACGAATACAGGATTCAAAGCCGATTTTAACTTTGACATCGGTGAGTCGTAGGTCTGTTTGTTTTAAGGGGACATCCCAGGAGACCGACAGCCCACGCGAGACCGATACTGTCGGTCAATATAACCTTTAGACCAATTATTGTAAGCAGGCCATTGTCGGTTGTCTGTCTCGAGGGATGTAGCCTGTTTACTGTCGGGGCGTCGCAATCTCCTATTAAAGGGAGGGGTTGACCTTTTCTTTCTGTCTGCAAACTTTAACATTCTGAAAACCAATTGTCAGCAAGCTTGTCTGAAACTTTGTTCCAACAGCCTTCCCACATAAAAATAGTTCAGCGACGCCTAAGGTTTCTTTTTTTTTCCAACCCATTTTCTAAATTCTAGATTTAGTGCCCAGGGCAGGTCAAACTTCGGTAGTTCGAGATTGCAGTTGAAAAAAATTTCCGGGTGGCGGGTCGATTAGATTAGGCAATATAGCATTATGAACTGTCGTGAATATTTATTTGCAAAAATGACTATTTTCATTTTCTCTCTGTGTATCCCTTTAAAGGCATATATACAGCATTTACATTGAGTTCCTGTATAAGGACAACACATTTGTTGGTAAAACCGAAGATCTTTACCTGTGTCATGTCTTAATATCAAGAATTACCATTGCTTTACAAAAAAAAAATTAAAAAAAAATAAAATAAAAAAAAATCGTTAATTGATATCAAGAAATAGGAATAAATGTTAAAACGGCTTGCCATGGACACGCATGATCAGTGAACGTTCACGCCGTTCTCGTCCACTCAATCTAAAAGTCATATGACGCATCTTGTACAACGGGCATTAATTTCATGTGGCTCCCGAATCAAAACTTTCGATGAGACAATCGCAAAGTCTTTCGGGAAAAGCAACCGAAGGCATTTCAACAGCCTTCTCCGCCAACCATTGAATTCAGAAATGTACGACTATTACAATGTTTTACGCACACATACATGATTTCTATATGATATACAATAATGGCTGTACAACTGTTCTTGGGTTGACTTTACAAACATTATCTATGTCTTTCTTTCTTATTAGCTCGTGAACCGACTTCGGACCCGGACATCGCCGTTATCAACTCTCTGGAGAGCGAATTATCCGCGTTCAAGTTCGGAATCGCGGCAGCCTGTATATTCGGTGCTCTCCTTATAATGGTGGTTTCAGCGTCACTCTACACCGTCACTCAACGCGACGCTATGAACGCTGCGAAACTGGCAGACATAGAGGGTGCAGGTAAATTGCACTTTTCGTAGATCGGGCTAGGGACGGAACGATCACACGGGATCCCCACGGACCCCCCCCCCCCCCAATCGCCCTGTTTCAAATCTTTATTTTTTGTTTTGTTTTGCTTGTCAGATATATTAGCCGCATAATTGTGCACAGCTCGGTACAAACAGATAACTTTATATTAATACATGTATTTTCGTGTCTCAAAATCTCAAAACTCTTTGTTTTATGTCAAAATAAAAAGATAATTAATTAGATATAGTAATACAAGTGTTACTTTGAATTCAAATGCGACCATATTAGCCAAGTAAAAGTTTTTTTTTTCATCCGTCCTTTCATAAATTAAAACTATTTTAGACATCTCATGAATTTGCCGAATTCACTTTAACCTATCCCTTTGATTATTCAACAATTGCTGACTTGTATCTCAATATATCTGACGATGGACAGTAGAATGATTATGATCTAACACATTTTTTTGATTGGATGTAACAAACTAATTTTTACAGAAGACGCAAAACCCGGCTATCACACACTCGACGATGACGAGGAAGGCGATGACCCCTACACCTCGATTACCGACACCCGCAACGCCAACGGCATCACCAAAGTCACAGATAGTCAAGGAACACAAGCAACCAAGGCCGGTATCGTAGCCGAGACCGGTCACGGTTATGCCGCCGTAAAAGCCAACGGCGACGTTACCAGCTACGTCGTCAATGACGAGGTCGATAGCGGCGCCGCTGTCAACAAGGGATTCGTTGAGGACGAGGGCCTGGCTGAAGAGGCGGCCGCCGCCGTGGCTGCTTTTGACGCAGCCGTCGTCGATTCGAACGAGGGCATGCTGGAAGACAAGGAAGAAGATAACTCCGGCTACCAGAACATTGTTGTTGCTGCTGATATCAGCCCCCTACCGAAGGAGAATACGGAAGAAGAGGCCTTCCCCCACCCTCCTCTACTTGGTGAAACTGATAGTATGCCGCCGCCACCAGAAGAAACACCACCTCCACCACCCCCTCCGGAAACCGAGACTAGCACACCCAAAGACAACAACGAAGACAACTCAGCGCTGTAGTGCACAACAGGAATAACATCAATTGCTCAGCGCAAATTGGGGGTAGGGTGCACAAAACGTGTTAATGATGAAAGCTGTTGAATCAAAGAAGGCTTAAATTCTACCTTTTACGCGGGGAAAAAATATTACACCGAACAGACAGTGGCATGCCCCTGATAAAGAATCCATGCTAGTTTTCCTGTGGATATACAGATCTGGGCCCATATTCAGTAAACACTAAAGCTCGTTGTCAACTAATTACATAGGCTAAAGTATATAGTTAGTTGCCAATTGGGATAAGAAAGGTTTTATGTATGAGCCCCGAACACCAAATTGATTCTCTCTTCATGTGCATTGCCATGATTATACTAAAGGAATAGTTTTCGCCCTACCGAAGAGTCCTTGTCTCGAAAACATTTTTTCCTATTATTAAAGAGTTTATTACCTGTCGACTCCTATTTTTTCATCACTCTTATAATTCCTTATATTAAAGATTATATTAGAGTATAGGAATAAACCAAATTCACCCCCAAATTAATTACATCTTCTGAAAACGGGTATCATGGATAAGAAAAGAAAAAGTACATGAACAACAAGTACACCTGTATCCGTGATTTTATTACACATTTTAGTTCCGAAAATATCTAATGACATGTATCCAATTTTTTAATTTAACGCGACCAAAACCAATTCTATATTGATGATGAGATTCTAAATTCCAATAAAATAATCACATGAAATCGCTCATCCTTTTGGTACCATACGGATGCTATATGACATTATTTTCGTAGAGGCAACTGAAAGCATATACGTTATATTTCGAATGCCTTTGTTCAAGATGTTCATATTGGTATTGACAGTGTCTATTAGTCTTATCATTTGAGGAATTAAGAATGTACGGCAATTTTTTTGTCTATATATGTATATAACAATAAGAAGATTTTGTATATATTTTCATTTTTGCCAACTGTTTAGCGGGCTGTTTAGGTTTCGAACCATTTTTGAAACCGTAATATTTTCAAACAGTATTCACTTAGCGATTACAATGGCATATGAAGCACGTGTAATGAGTTGTTGCCTGTTAATTTGATAAAAATGAAAGTGTTATGGTCCTAAGAATTTATGCATTTCAAGTATATTATCACATATTATATTTTCCAAACTCATTTGAGTACATTGCTTTGAATCATACCTCAAAATGTCCACATGTTTTGCTTCTTGATGAATATAATGTATACTTTAGATTTAATTTCATATAGTTTTCTTCGTCATTTATATTTCATTCGACTTTATTACTGTACAATGCATGCAAAGGCCGAGAGTAAACGATGTTAGTCGTAGAATAAAACAAGAAATTGATGGGAAATAATATATAAACTGGATTTTTCCTTTCCGGCGTTTCCTTCTCGGGATTTTGTATGCAAGGAATATTTTATTGCACAATAAAAATAAATGCAGGCAACGTAATTTGATTTGTTTTTCCCTTTATGTCTGCGGTGTAAAATTGTTCAGTACATAAAAGGAATGGACAAAACACTTCATGTTAAACAATTTTAAAATGATACTTTGTTGACAACAGAGAGAGAGAGAGAGAGAGAGAGAGAAATTATTTATATCATGAAGATATAAGTTAAAGATGGAAAGACTGAGAGAGAGAGAGAGAGAGAGAGAGAGAGAGAGAGAGAGAGAGAGAGAGAGAGACATAAACAGAAAAGAGGAGACAGGGACAGAGAAAGAACAACAAAAGATAGAAGGACACCGTCGATGCCTCTTAAGAGATAAAATAATTTAAGGTACAGGCTGCTAGACAAATTGTAAATTATTATTTGTGAAAATCCGTATACACAGTGTCATGTATTTCACAATATTTATCATATTATACAGATAAAACAATAAAGGCAGCCATGATGCATTTTAAAGATCAGGATCGATGTCGTATATCGAGGGACTAGGGACACAACTATCAGCATAAATTTTATTCAATATTCTAGTTTGAATCGAATTCTATTTTCTCACAAGAAGATATTAAAAAGAAGAAGAAAAAGAAAAATCTAGATTGAGAGAGAGAGAGACATACACACAAAAAAAGAGAGAGAGGGAGAGAGAGAGAGAGAGAGAGAGAGAGAGAGCGAGGGGAGAGAGAGGGAGAGAGTGGATGAGAGAGAGGGGATGAGAGAGAGACTGAGATAAAGAAAGAGATAGAATGAGAGAGAAAGAGAGAGAGAATGAGAGAGAGAAAAAGAGACTGAGAGAAAGAGAGAGACTGATATATATATATATATAGAGAGAGAGAGAGAGAGAGAGAGAGAGAGAGAGAGAAGAGCGATTGGCGGGGGTGGGGGGGGGGGGGTAAGAGAAACAAGGTGACGCATCATCGATTCCATAGAGAGTTAGTGCTGATATAAGCTCCTTACTTTGGTGACAAAAGAGTAGAATGTCCTCCGGTGGATAAAGAAGATATTTGAACCATCCATCAAAACGGGAATCTATTTTTTGACGTATGCATCTAAATCGGGTGGTACTTACGTCAACTGATAGCTAACTTTACACCTCTATACCCCGGTGATGCATTTTGATTTAAATACCCTTGGACCCGGAAACACTTTTAGATAAATTCCCTTTTCTAAATAGATTCCCTCAACTGATATACATGGGACTTTTTTTCGTAGAAATCAGGTTAACGAAATTCCGCCCGAAGCGAGAGAGACTTTGCAGGGAAAAGATTTTGTTTGCTTATAATATTATATTCCATCTATATTTACATTTCCTACCCCACATTTTCCACCTCCTAGCTGAATAGTTTAAGGTCACGAGGGACATAAGTTATCGAAGTGCTATTAATAGCCGGTTTTCAAAGAATCTTATTATTTCCTCATGTCTTTCTTTTGTCTGAATGAAATTCAAGTCTGATTGCAAAGGCTTTCAAGAAATAAACCTAAGGGTTGTTTCAATATACCTTTGTAACGCCTACATAAATTTTATACGGATTACGTAACACATGGATGTCATTGCAATGGTCACACATTTTGAAAGGTGACGTCAAAGGCTTCTGAAACATTTGAATGTCAGTTTATTAGCAATTTATTTTTTAATATTTTTTTATAGATCAAATCATCGAAAAAGCTTTAGCTGATGAAAGGCAATATTACCATTGTTTGTCATAGAATAAAGTTAAAAAAACGAGAAACGAGGTTGGTGAGGAATGGAACTTTTTCAATTAAGGCCCCACTGCACTACTTATAGCTATTTGCGCCCTCTATTAAAGCAAACAGTGCCTAATCGGTGCCTGTTGGCCCCCCATGATCCTCTTTTTCCTATTTTAATTGGGAGCTGATTTGATGAGATAACCACCTGTCAGTGACCTTGCAGAGAGGTCTAATCCCCCTGGCCAAACTAGTGCAGACGGGCTTTAATGGTGGATTGGGGTGGGGGAGGGGCAGGGACTGGAGCACTAGCTTGGTCTTGAACCTAGAGCCTGTTGATTCCATGACCACCGCTTCTCCATCGAGCTATACTGCCCTCACAGAATAATGCGAATATAAATTTGTATGAAATTATGTATAACCAACGTTCTACATTTCAGTTAATTTCCTTTTATTTAAAATAACTATTATTAACTATTTTTAAAATCTAATTTACTCCTTTCCCTTGTCTACCTCCCCCTTTTACCATCCTCTCTCTCTCTCTCCCTCTCTTTTCTCTCTTTCTCTCTCTCTCTCTCTCTCTTTCTCTCTCTCTCTCTCTCTCTCTCTCTCTATCTCTCTTTCTCTTTTTGTCAATTTCAATGTCGATTTTCATATCGCTTTTTATTGGAAATTCTAGAGCGATTTTTTTTCCATTCCCGGAGAGGGACATATTGATTTATCGACAATTTTGGTCGGTCGTAGAGTAACCGAGATATAAAAATGGAAATATTATATGCGTAATTCGATAGAAACTTAGATTTGATGACAATTTTACTTAGAAATTGTGGTTAAGTTTGAAATGCAATTGCAGTTTGTTAGAATTCAAAAAAGCAAACCGACGGCGGACGATGGATTTTAACTTTGATTGAATCACGAATCCCAAACGGTCCGCAGTTGAAGATAACATTCTTTTTATATTCTATAATAATATGAGGTGCAAGGAGCCCAATGTGACAAACTTTGTGCCTAAATATGAGATGATTGTTGTCTGAAATATGAGACGGTGTGGTTACCCGAAAATTGGTGAGTTTAAAATTCCTAGGTAAACAACCCCCGCCCTCCCCCCCCCCCTCGAAAGCCCATGGGAAAATCAAAAGAGATAACAGATGAATAATGAAGAACGGACGCTCTGTTTTTTACTGCATATATTTCATATCTTTGGTTCAACCACAATTTTAGAAAAGGGCTTTGAACATTTCTACTTTCACAAATCTGTCGCTTCTAGCATTTCTTAACAAAAAGGTGAATTCTCCCCTGAATTCTTTTCTTGAATGCTATCTAATATCACAAACTGATGTTTTTTCTTCTTCGAGAAATCAGGAAATATAGCGGTTGTTGAACCGACACGATTAGCCGTCTGTTGAGCATTATGGATGAAAAAAGGCTGAATTCCCGAGGGTTATAAATGGAGATAGAACGAACGAGTGATCAATTCTTTGATAGAAAAATCAATCAGTTTTCTGTGTGGTGGTTCCCCGGCCGACTAATGACGCAGATTGGTAAACGGGGCCTGAGTTACATTTAAAGGCAGTATGTTTTACCGTCATCGCTTCAATGTATTTGGAACGGCACCATCGTTCGACGGAGGCGTACATAAGAGCGATTATCGGTTTCTGTAATCACGCATCATCACGCGCGCGTTATCAGTTGGTGATTTGTTCAAGGGGGTGTTTTAAAATTTGAAAATCGTGCCGAAAATTTCGCAACGACTCAGCCAGCCGCTGAATAAGCGGGGGAGGGGGGGGGGGGGGTAAGAGCACATTGTGTGGACTTTTTCCAAGGTACTGAGTGTGGGTAATTTTACTAATACCCGAACAAATTGATGTGTATTAATTGTTTTATAACATGATGTTTGATTTGTTTTATAAATGATGTTTTATAAAATGATTTTACTAATGACCGGTCATTAAAAAAAAGATTACGTTTTAGGCAAAATAAATTTCTGGTCACGTGTACGCTCTCAACCAATCGTTTGATTAGGATCCGCTTCATCATTTTATAAAGATCGCTATCGATATACCGGGATGTTGTGAGCAGCAGATGGCAGTATACGTAAAGCAGGAGAAGTGTCAGTACAACACACTGCCGTTTTAAAACATTATCATTGGAGATGATTTGGAGAAAGGTGGTTGAATCCTTATAAAGTTGTACGAGTCGAAAAGTTCAATTGAATTAAACACGACCACAAAGCGTTTCGAGAAGTCAACCCTAGGTAATTGCAATAGCGCCAACCTATTGAAATTGTTTTTAACTGAAGGTGGTTTCTATATAAGGAATAAAACAGAAGGGAATTGAAACTGTCCCTGAGTTGATTTGTGAAAATACTTTGTATCGTGCTCTTTGTGAAGATTTACGGTTGGAGTAAGACATGCCTGCCCACTCAAAAAGAAAGAACAATATAATGATAGATGTTCAGATTAATTTAGTTGGCCTAAATACCAATGAACGCTCAGATGAGATTCCTATTCTGTTTGTGTTTTTTTGTGGTTTTCGTGTTACTTTTGCTACAGATTTTTCATAGAGATTAAAGACTGATTAATAAGCCACTATTAGCATTAATAGCAATCGTAATGGAAGAAAAAACACGATTTCCTCAGATCAGCAAATCACAAATGTAAAGTCAAATTTAAAGCTAAGGTGAAAAAGACGAGGAAGAATTCGGCCCAACATGCCTTCCAACTTACATTAAAGATCAGTCTTAAATCTTTGTTTTTTATTTTTAGTAAGGTCGTTAAAAGACTGCAATTACATCTCAAGAATCAAGAATTTGAGATGGGTTCAGTCAACTTTTAGAAATTTCAAGCTTTTTTTTGTCCTTCTTTCCCCTCCATGAAATTGCCCACACGAAAGCTAGCTTTGGTTAATGCATGCCGACAAAAACGTGAGCAGTATATGTCTGTATTGCTGTCTTTAAAGATACTATGTTCCTTTTGCAGCCAAAATCAAATTCTGTCGAACTTTGCAGGAATTGTGAATATGTCATGTATGTCCTATCTGTGAAATTTAAACGTTAACAGTGTCCTAATATTCAAATTATTCAAGGAAACCCGTTTAGTTGCTAGACTTCACTGTCAGACACTATTGAGTCACTGACTGGCTTTTTTCATCGTTGGTACTAATATACATAAAATGAGCTGTAAAGGGTACATGAGCATTTGTCTACATCAATAACCCACTTCTTGTAATGGCCAAAATTAAACTGATTGAATCTTTGGCAGCATAAAACGTACGACCATTCGGTACAATTCGGTACAATGGTCTGAAAAATAAGACTACTACTTACTGGCTCTATAGCTCCTAAGTCGACTCGACAACTAATAGTCGTTATTTTCCCACTTAAATAATAATAGCTCACATTTATAATGCGCCTAATACTTTGTTTCTAGGCGCGGAACATATTAAAGACATTTTCAAGTCCCCCTTTTTTTAAGGGAAGTTCTAAATTAGTATTGTCTTTCAAATGCTGTTGGAATTTAACCTTTTCATTTTTTTTGTCCTGCAAATGGGACATAGTACCTTTAAAGAACACGTATTTCATATGATGCATCTCTACTACGCCCGTGGCATATACATGCATGTGTCTGCCCTGAAGTTCCGATCTTACAAGTACCGGGAGTCTTTCTTCTTCCTCTTCAATTTCTATGCCATGACACGTATGATTATGAATTATGTGGGTATGGTGTGGGCGGGCTCCTCCTCGTGCGCAATTTCGCTTTCCATACCGTTCGCATTGAACGCGCGACGTCTTGTAAATATATCATTATGCTTGTAAGCTTCTAAAGTCATTTTGAAATGAGCATGCAGCGCCGAACTGGACCGACTCCTATACGTTTTCAGTTTCCGTGACAACCTGAGCCAGAGGAAGACATGCGGGAAGACATGCGGGAAGACATGATGAGATATTGCTTACATGTGCAGTGAAACTCGTGTACAGCGCTTGAATATGATGCTTAGAATAGCTGACTCCGAGGCGGCAGAAAACTCAACTCTTTGCAGACTCTCGATTAGACTTCAGTGATCCGTCTAATACATGCTATCAATTATTCAAAGTGTTCGTTCCACACCATATGCCTCGTGCGGTTGATATGCGGACCTCGTTCGTCTGAAACTATGAAGGTACACGCCATTATGACTACTATATCGTTTATAGCTTGAATGACTATGGTTTATAATCAAGATGAAGACATCAGTCACCCACCCGTGGATGTATTGTTCAGGGCATAAATTCATTTTATATTCAACTTGTCAATGTGAACTCAACCTGGGATGCATTTCATCAGCTTCACCTGACATACACCCGTCATTTTTCTAATGCTTTTTTCTCATTATCGTTAACTCGAATATAGTTCCGTGACCTCGTTGACTATCCACAATCGATGAATGCAATTCCGATTCGTCATCATGAACTTTTGAAGATCAATCGCAGGAAAAAAAAAACCTTGTTTGAGAAAAGGATTTCACAGAATACTAATTCTTTGTATTATCGACGAGAATGGGAGATTATTTCAAGCCCAGATAATGTTGGACGGCCGTGAATGCGATGAACATGGAGACGAAATTAAATGCGGTGTTTAGTTTTCTAGCTCAGCATCGTACGTTTTGCGACTGCTTTCCGTTTGACTTAAGTTACTGCTAACAATTTAGACATCTTGGAGAGGTATGTAAATCCGGGCTCCGAACCAGTTACGTGTTGAGAATTGCGACTGGCTTCTATTATCTCATTCGACTGAAGCTTTTGCTTGGAGGGGGACAAAATCTACAAGAAAAAAGCTCGTTTCGTCTTCATTTATATCGCTTTAAAAACACACATATCCACGAGTTGATATCAATCTACAAGGATCTTGAAACGGCACGCAGTTCTCAAATTGTCTTGCACATCGGAGCAGTCAACTAACCGGCTACTACCGTCCTCTTTTTGTGAATTACCTGCACGTGCCCCCTGTCGTTCATTTATGAGAATCCGCAAAAATGGTGTCGTGAACTGACTTAATGAGAGGCCTCGAGATTTTATAATTCACGTCGTCGCCGCCACGATTGCTTGTTGGTAAGGAGATTAGCATCAAATGATATTCCTGAGTTACAGGTGGAATATTCGATGATATGAGAGTCGAATGAGTACGCGCACAACACTATACTTATCGCCATGTTCATCAAGTTTACGTATGAATACGGTTTCGATATCGAGACGCATGTATTTTGACACCGGAATCAGAAATCAGTATACAGAAGGGAATGTCTATATTTTTCTAAGAATTACAATTCTGGTGAAAAAGTCGGGAATACAGAATTTGAACGAAATAAATCTATAAATTGTATGAGTACAAACAGCTACTTTATCTCCCGAATTGATGAAGAAAGCATGCACTCGGAGGACACTGAACAAAAATGAGTTTGAGTTCGTGGCAAAGGAGCTGGTCATTTACTAACGTCATTTTCTTTTCGCATCTCTAGAATTCAATTCGGAGAATGATTATGACTTCCTACGCACTTTTGTATGACCTCTTCCATTAGATTGTACTTCGACAAAATATTTAAAACCAATTAAACTCTCCCATTAATTTGTACTTCAAAACTAATTAAAACTAGCTAATCAATATAGAACATCGATTTTAGAATTGACGTGCAACGCATGTACAAGTCAAATGACTCTAACATAAAGCGGTGCCAGAAAGAGCAATTGTAGATTCCACTTCTGAAAGTACCCTCAGGAAAGTGATTATCGACAGCGTCTGCGCGTGAGTATGAATTCTTGATTAAGGAGGACCCGATGTCTTCGGTTACTGAACCGTAAGTTTCCTCATTTTGCTTGTCTGCAGCCGATTTAAGGCTTGGCTGACAATTTGTAATGTTTTTTTTTAATAAACTGACATTCCCGTCTGGACAGACTTGATTTATGACTGACGCTCTACCCAATGGTATCGATGGACGTCGTGGGGTCGAACACTGTCCGCCCTTTAGCCCTGCGATGCATACCCTCATCTCTTCATCAGTGTTCATTGGCTGAATCAACTCTGTAACAAGCGGTGCTATAAAACCTCCAGTGCCTTTTTTTAATGAATGGGGTGTAGAGAAGGAGATATCTTCTACGAAGAACTATTGGAGGCACTTTTTCTTCTGTGAACATTTCAGTTGAAAATAGAATTTTCAGTATTCTCTCGCTGCACACAGTAATCTCACTGCATGATTAGTACTTCATGAATTTAGCGGGACTTCTCAGACAGAGTCCCACACCCTTGATTAGCTGTCTTTTCATTGAAGTCAAAGGAGGCGACGATAATTCTCCCTGGATAAAGGAAACCTTACATCATTCACCATGCTCTTCAAGTCCATCCTAATCGCGGGTTTTCTCTGCATCTTCATCATCGGCGTCTGTGCCAACGCCTTGGTGATCTTGCTATCCCTCAAACCCGGTGGAAACACCAATGTCAATGTCAACGTCAACACGATCAACACGTACATTGTTAACATGGCCGGCGCGGACTTGCTTTACATATTCGGCTGCCTGTTCTACACGCTGACGAACTACAACCAAGATGGATGGCTCTTCGGCGACATCGGCTGTCGGTTGATTCTCAGTATCGACGTCCTCACCATGCACGTTAGCGTATATATCCTCACGGTGATGAGCATCGAGCGCTACGTGGCCGTCGTACACCCGATGTTGTCGCTGAAGTACCGGAGCGTCTGCTTCGCTCGCCTTATCGTGGTGGTCATCTGGGTGTCCGCTCTGGTACTGGCGTCGCCGATGGTGGTCGGTATGGCATTGACTCGTGTTCACGCCGGCAAAGGATCTATGAAGAACACGTGCGCTTGGACGCTGAACGGTGAAGATTCTCTGTCTACCTACATGATTTCCGTGTTTCTTATCACCTTCGCCATCCCGTCCATCATCATGGTAGTCGCCTACCTGCTCCTCATGGCCCATTTTTGTCAGGTCAAGTCGGAGCGTAGCGGTAGTCAGCAGGTACGACGGTCGAAGCGTCGCGTGGCGCAGATCGTTTTCCTGGTCGTTCTTGTCTTCTGGATATGCTACACCCCATTTTGGGTTTACCAACTTACCGTCCTACATGTTGAAAACTTCGATCCTAAGCAGATCGTCGGACTCATCGCCCTTGTCATATCATACCTCAACTCATGCGTCAACCCCTTCCTCTATACGCTCTTGCCGAAGAGGTACAACGTCTGGCAAAAGATGAGGAAGCAGAGTTCATTTTCCGCCCCGAAATACCGTCTTACGGGTAGACCAGAAGTGTGCGATTCTCTTTGAATCTAAATATGTCGTAGTCGTACGTTATCAATGTCTGCAAAGGTTGACATGAGCAGAAACAGGAAAAATGAAGGAAAAAACAGATTTTTAAATATTGAGATGGATCTGACAAAGCATAAGAATGATGAAAGTTTATATTTCTTAAAGGAAATCTCGTTGATAAGTTGTCCATGATGTGTAACATAATTTCGTTATGCTAATAAGACAAGTGCCCAATCTATTTTTTTCCTGTTTTGCATAATGTTCTCTCACAAGAGAACATGTTTGTTATAATACATATTAAACTTGAGAAAAGGAATATTTAAAATAGATTTTAAAAAAACAATTCGAATCGTTTGAACGTCTAATTGAAAGACAATAATATAAATACTAAATAATCAATAATTACTGTACTCGTTTACATATTGGAAAATAAGTGTCATTGCAATGTATTGAGTTGTGTTATAGAAAGAAAATGGCGAGCTTTTTCACTTTCACTCTCAACGTCATTGTGGAAACGTGCGAATGCGAGGGTAAAAGCAATGGCTGAACTATATCACCTTCTTAAGTGACGAACACTTCCAGCGTCTTATTCAATTATTGAGGTAATTCTTAACAGTGGCACTCTTCAAATCGATTTTTCTTTGCCTGACATCAGGAGAAGCCTTTTAATGGTAGGATGGTGAAGGGAATATTGACCTTGTTTTGTGGTAAATTGCCGTTTTGTTCGACAAAAGTGTTACAGTTTTCACTTTCTTCATTAAATGTGGTGACTCATCACTTTCTTTATCGAAGTGATCAATTTATCAATTTCTTTATCGAAAGTGAAAATGTCACGACTTGCTTTAATGAAAGAACATCTGTCATTGCAACGAACACAAATTGAGGCAATTCTCCTGCACTATTCAAGGGAAAAGAAAACTCCCATCAAATTTCATTAAAACTCATTCTTTATTAATTGAAAGGCACCTGGTATTTTATGAAGGTGATGGACATGACTTTAAAGGGGTAACTCAAGCAGGAAATCAGGCACTTTGTGAGCCTGAGTGGAAACGGCCAGTATTAATAGTTCGCAATATAACGCACGCTTTATACACTATATACAAACTGTATTTAAAATCAATGTATCTTGTAATGTACACATCAATTGGAAATTGATGATTGTGCTTGTGTTTCGTGGTATTTCTTTGCTGTGCCAGGTTTTGCCTTACAAACAGTACTGTGTGTGCTTTGAGGATTTGCGACTTGCAATATGAAAACGCTGAAAAATCTGGATGCACTAATACTCATGTATTTTATTTTACATTAATTTTATCAATCGCACAAACACAACACCTTTTCGCTAAGTTATTGTCGTCTTTTGTTTCCTTGAAGGCTTAGTCGGATTAGCACGTTCGAGGGAATGGTTTATCGAGTGTAAATTAAATTAAATAGAAATGCAGAAAAAAAAAAAAAAAAACACGTAGAAATTGAACAGAACAATAAGACACCTTGCAAGTAGCAGATGTTATGGATATTTTTGGATTATAATGTCCATGTTCTGTCCATGGCAGGCGCGTACGCAGGGGGGGGGGTTTGGGGGGTTAAACCCCCCCCCCCCCCTTTGGAATTTTTTTGTGTGTAAACCCCCCTACAAAAAACCTAAAACCCCCCCCCCCCCCCCCCCCCCCTTTTGGATTTTTTTTTTTTTTTTTTTTAATTATTTAAAAAAAAAAAAAAAAAAAAATTATTCCCATGGCCGACCTAAAAAAGGTGACCTTACCCCCCCCCCAACGGAGCAAAATGTCAAATTTCCAATTTCGAGACCAAAAAAAAAAAAAAAAGTGTCCTCTTACCCCCCCCCCCCCCCCCCCCCCCCCCCCCCCCCCCCCCCCCCCCCCCCCCCCCCCCCCCCCCCCCCCCCCCCGCTTATTCAGCGGCTGGCTGAGTCGTTGCGAAATTTTCGGACCGATTTATAAATGTTAAAACCCCCCCCTTGAAAAAATCCTGCGTACGCGCCTGGTCCATGGTGATAAGGGTGGATGTTATTTGAGAACCTTTGACATTGCGCGTACAAAGCCAGCAGGCCTTTGAATCAGAATCTCCCGCTTTGTTTCAAATACCTTACTGTATCCATGTAACAAGATTCAGTGGTTCAGATTTCGTATGCCATTGTTTTAATTTACAAATAAACGTTTTAAACTACATTTCCATGGGAAACCATAATAGAAAAACAGGAAAATATAATGCGTTTATCTAAAAATGATGTGATGTCGCTATTGCCATGCTTTTCTTTTCTTTGATTACTGCATTCGAGTCACAATTATAAGCACTGTCGGATATATATATATAGAGAGAGAGAGAGAGGGGGGGAGGGGGCATTACAGCTCAAAGCTCTCTTTTAAAACCAATGTAGTATATATATACAAATTACGTTTTTAAAAAGATGTCCCGCTTAAACTTTTGACCGTAAAGACACGTGGAAATCTTATAACCCTTTCGTTTTCTTTTCTTTTCTTTCCTTTTCGTTAATTTTCTTGGTTTTTTTCGTTTGTTTGTTGGAAATTCATCGAAATGTGCCCTTTTGACCGCCCTTCATGAAAGTTCAAATGTTTACGATGTTTACCGGGAAAATTTCCTAGTAAAGAATGGCTATTTAGTTTAAACTATACCAGTATAAATATTGAAAGAAAATGCGTTTTATACTATTTTGTCGTAATTTCCATGACGATAATACTTTGTTTTTCTCCAGTGTATACGCTTTCTACCAGCATAAGCAACACAAGCCGAGAAAATAACAAAGAATAATTCATGAGATAAAGTTCATACCGTAAACCCTCGTTAATTTTTTCAATTAAAAACATGCAGGTCTAATCTCAAATTTCTGGATTTGATATTACATATTTTTCATTCTTTAGTCATTCGACCTCCGATAAAGCACTACATCGCCGACTACTCTTAAATAAGCCAATGGAGAAGCTGTTTAACTTTGTACTACGATAAAGCTTTTATTCATTTATTCAATTCAATGTATCTATTTTTCCAATGTAATTTCAACATGGACATTTGTTTCGTTCACATTTTAATTAAAGGCTCCGACATAGTTTATAAAGAACATAATATAGGATACCAAATGTGGATACACTTTGGTGATGACAAAATAATAATCGTACATACTGATTTTCGTTTACTTATGGCTTGTTTCGTTTTCTTAAATTACATAATTCAGCATTTACCACTAAACACAAAGAAAAATTATTTGTTTAAACTTCATTGTTTATGTGTTTAAACTGAGGGTTTAGATTAAAATGAAAATGATGCTCGTTTGAAATCAGGGTTAAGCTCAATGATATATGTGTTCCAAACATTTTTATTTATTGAATTGTGTTCTATGTTCTGTACGAAGCATTGTTTTTAATGACCATGTTTTCAACAATATAAAAACTTTAATCTTTAAAATACGCCACGGTAAAGTCTTTTTTATACTAAGTTTTTTGTACTCTATTATGTCAGATTGATACCAGCTTTTTACATCCCATGTACATAAAATGCTTGTATGAGTTTTCTTTGATCTGAAAATATGACTAGCAAATTACAACTAATTAAATGTCTAAATTAGCTTTTTAATTGCTGAAGTGACCATGTAAAAGGCAGGGGTTAGATGTTTTTTTGTTTGTCTGTTATATATATATATATACAAATATATATCATTATTATTATATATTTATTTTTATTTATTTATTTATTCATTTATTTTTTATTTATTTATTTATTTATTTTATTTATTTACTTCTTTTTTTTTTTTTTTTTTTTTTTTTTGGGGGGGGGGGGGGCACATTTATAAACTATCTCTCTAGCGATGACCTTGTCTAATCTTATGTCATGAGAGTGAAGGGTAATTTTGCTAAACCCCCACGAGACCAACTGCTCATGATCTAAAACAGGCACTTTGTTTTATCTTAAGTATTTCTTTGTTTTGTTGGTCACTTGGACCTTTCAGAACTGTCGACCTCGTTGGCTTGTGGTCTACTGGGGTGTCCCCGTCCATTTTGACTTTTGTTTTCTCTTTTTATATCTTATGTCAAATTATTTACACAGGGTATTGCACACAACAGTGTGTATTTTTATATCCAAAATTTATTGTGATACATACGATGTCATTAAAAATGCGAAGCGCAATTTATATTTGAATGGCTTTTAGATTTAAACAACATTTTCAAAATGTAAAATGTTTCTTTATTGATAAGCAGTCATAAACGTGTTCAATGTATTGGTATTTGAAATGGCGTAAATACATATATATTTTTGTCTTTCATATATCATTCATATAAGGTGTATATTCAATATTTTCGCGTGTAACACTTTATTGAATAAATTCACGATTTTAACTAGAAGAATACACGCAGTATAAAGTGATATTTTGTTTAGTACTCTTTTTTGTCCCTTTTTTTTTCTTTGATTTTTCGAGCCTCGATCTCTACCGGGGGTGAGAGTAAAAAATCCGTAAGATTGAGATATTGTAGTTATTATCAATTTTAACCATTTACACATTCCGTGAATCTATTGAATGCATATGCATCACTTTAAAGGCAAGGAATTCTGTTGACACTACGTGAGGTTACGTATACTGCCATCTGATGCTGACGTTGTCCCGATGTGTCGACAGCCATGTCCCACAATACTTCACCAACTGCACGACGCGCTTGTGGTGTTGCTTGGGTACAGGAACCGGAAATCACTCTATGTACGCCTTCACCGAAAGATGGTGCAAGTGATAATATGTTACAGCAATGGTAGCGATGGCGGAAAAAAAATACCCTGCCTTAAAAGGGGAAGTACACCTTGACATTAAACTGGTATTAATAAAAGCGGAAGGATATTAGAGAAACAAATTAGTGACAGATTGAGGAAAAGTCCGATTAAAAAATAAGAAAGTTATGAATATTGGAAGATGTAATTAATAAGACCCCATTTGCCTTTTTACTGGAAGTGCAATAAATCCCCCTGTTTTCAGTTATACCCCCTTCACGTACACGGATTTTTCTTACGAGTCCTTACGTATCGCCAACTCGTAGTCAATCGCAAGCATCCGTAAATAACTCGCTGGTACCCGTAAATAACTCGTCACAACTCGCAACAACTCGTAGACATTCTTAAGGATCCGCGAAAGGAGAGGCAAATTTGTTAACATGTCAAATATCTTCTTACGATTGTCCACGGATTGATTTGTCCGTAAATAGCTCGTAAATACCTCGTAACAATCCGTAACCATCCGTAAACCGCTCGCAACAACACTTAACCATCCGTAAACTGCTCGCAAGAATCCGTAAGTGACTCGTAACAGATTTTTGTAACGATTCGTTACGGTTAGTTAACGATTTGTTAACGGATTATTTACGCATTATTGCGAGTAGTTTACGGATGGTTACGTGTGCTTACGTGTTGTTTACGATTTTATTCGGGTCATTTTACGATGACTTTACGGATTGATACAGGTTATTACGAGCATTTTACGTGTAGTTACGAGGACTTTATGAATAGATAAGTATACTTTACGTATGATTACGAACTGTTCACGATTTGGGGAAAGAAAAGCTGCAAGTTCGAACACTTCATTTTCAGTTGTTATTTTTTGGCTAAAAATCGTAAGGATTCGTAAATACTCGTAACTTACTCGTAGCTATTCGTTACAACACGTAACCAGGTCGTAACTAACACGTTAGTTGCTCGTAGTTATCTGTGACAACTCGTAACAAATCGTGGACTGTTGCCGTAAATACATCGTAATAACTCGTAATGATTCGTAATAAACCGCAAACATCTCGTAATAACTATTATAAACCGGTCGTAAAAGTGGCAAAATCGTAAGGATCCGTGAAAGACCCGTGAATTTGTGCGATCCGTAAGGACTCGTAAGAAAAATCCGTGTATGTGAAGAGGGTATTAGTGATAAAGGAATACATTCACATAGGGGTTGAGTATATAGACATGAAAGGGTTATATCGAAAGTGCGTGTATGATTTACATTATTATAAGAGAAAGTAGCAATTTATGACGATTTTACAACAGAGAAATGGGAGAGGACCTAGCAAGATAAGTCGCCGAGTTTGAAAATTTGTGTTTGATTGATTTCAACTTCACATTCACTAATCTGTTTAAGGCTTGTTTTTATTCCTGTTTCCATTAAAAAAGCCCACCTTAATATCAGGTTGGGCTGCTCCCCTATTTTTAAAAGCTAGAAACCTCTTTTTCGTTGCATATAAATTGTATACTCGATACTTTTAACAATATTTTGTTTTACTCCTTTTATAAGAAAACTTATTTTTGCACTTCAAATTTATCTCTTATAATGCGAATGGAAAAGAGGAGATAAATTACATGACAAATCGTACCCTTGTACTTATCTTCAGTGTAGTAATTCCTATCATATTTTTATCCGTATAGGCTTTAATTAAATCCATT